CTAAAAGCCTTCCTCACGAGCAGACCAGAGCTGCCTGTCCGACTCGGCTTCAGCGATATCGAAGGCAAATACCAGGACCTAGTCTTGCACGAGATCCCGAAGCCAATCATCGAGCACGATATCGCTGCATTCCTGGACTTTGAGCTCGCAAGGATTCGAAAGGAACATAATGCTCTCTCTCCTGTCGACCAACAACTCCAACCGGATTGGCCTGGCCGCCCGATCACTCAAGCCCTTGTCGAAATGGCCGTTCCGCTCTTCATTTTTGCGGCCACCATCTGTCGGTTTATCCGGGATCCGGCATGGTGCGACCCCGATGGCCAATTAGCAAAGGTCCTCGAGTATCGGCCAGGAACCCAGCAATCCGAGATCGACAAGCTGGATACGACGTACCGCCCGGTTCTTGACCGATTGCTCCTCGGTTCCGAGGCATCCAAGGCATCCCTGCTTGAGGAGTTCCAGACGGTCGTAGGCGAGATTGTGCTCTTAGCAGAACCGCTCCCAATACGCCCTTTAACTCGACTTCTTGGTGTTGAAGAGAACGTTGTGGTTCGCCGGCTGAAGCCACTCCACTCTGTTCTTCGCGTACCTGACTCCCCAGAATCTCCTGTCAGAATATTCCACCTGTCCTTCCGCGACTTCCTTGTCGATCCAAAAAAGGCCGATAAACCAGAGAAGTACCCATTCTGGGTTAACGAACGGAAAACCCACGAACGTCTGGCAGTCCGGTGTCTGGAGCTGCTATCGGAAGAAGCTGGACTTAAGAAAGACATCTGCGGTTTACGCCTACCAGGAACATGCCGGTCTGAGATCGACCGGAAGATCATCGATACGAACCTACCGCTCGACGTCCAATATGCCTGTCGGTATTGGGTCTACCACTGGAAGGAGAGTCAGCACCTGATACGGGACGGCGACCTCGTCGACTGTTTTTTAACGCGCCATCTCCTGCACTGGCTCGAAGCGCTCGGTCTTCTGGGATGGGTTTCAGAGAGTATCGGTATAGTAAATGACTTGCTGGGCTTACTCGATGTACGTTACTGTTTTTGCTATTCTCTTAGACAATATACTGACTTGTTTTACCTTAGCAAGAAGGAAGCGACAAGGTCTCAGCCTTTCTTCTGGATACTAGGCGGGTCATTCGAAGTCATTGCTCTATTATCGATACATCACCTCTTTAGGTCTATCATTCCGCCATCGTATTTGCGCCAACAAAGAGCGTCGTCCGAAGTACCTTCCAAGATCAACTTCCCGGCTGGCTGACTCTACTACCAGAAGTTGAGTTAGATTGGGATATGTGTATCCAAACGCTCGAGGGGCATAGCCACTCGGTCCAGTCCGTCGCGTTCTCCCCGGACTCGAAGACGCTCGCGTCAGCATCGTACGACAAGACCATCAAGCTCTGGGACGCTACGACGGGCGCCTATACAGCAACGCTCAAGGGGCATACCGGCTGGGTCAACTCCGTCGCGTTCTCCCACGACTCGAAGACGCTCGCGTCAGCATCGGACGATACGACCATCAAGCTCTGGGACGCTACGACGGGCGCCTATACGGCAACGCTCAAGGTGCATACCGACTCGGTCCAGTCCGTCGCGTTCTCCCCTAACTCGAAGACGCTCGCGTCAGCATCGCACGACACGACCATCAAGCTCTGGGACGCTACAACGGGCGCCTGTACAGCAACGCTCAAGGGGCATACCGACTGGGTCAACTCCGTCGCATTCTCCCCGGACTCGAAGACGCTCGCGTCAGCATCGAACGATAAGACTATCAAGCTCTGGGACGCTACGACGGGCGCCTGTACAGCAACGCTCGAGGGGCATACCGGCTCGGTTTACTCCGTCGCGTTCTCCCACGACTCGAAGACGCTCGCGTCAGCATCGTACAAGACCATCAAGCTCTGGGACGCTACAACGGGCGCCTGTACAGCAACGCTCAAGGGGCATACCGTCTCGGTCCAGTCCGTCGCGTTCTCCCACGACTCGAAGACGCTCGCGTCAGCATCGGGCGATACGACCATCAAGCTCTGGGACGCTACGACGGGCACCTGTACGGCAACGCTCGAGGGGCATACCGACTGGGTCCGGTCGGTCGCGTTCTCCCCCGACTCGAAGACGCTCGCGTCAGCATCGAGCGACAAGACCGTCAAGCTCTGGGACGCTACAACGGGCACCTGCACGGGGACCCTAGGTACGATTGTCATGCGCCTCGAGTTTGACAAAACGGGTTCTTCTCTTCTCACAGACATCGGCACTTTCACACTAAACAACCTGTCTTTGTTGCCAACAGCTTCGACGGCTGCGCCAGCCCTTGAAGTATCAAAGGTAATGGCTAGTTCCCTTTTACAACATATCAATCGTTTGGGAGTTGGCCTCAGTGAGGACAATGCGTGGATCACCTGGGACTCGTACAAGATGCTATGGCTGCCGTCGACATACCGGCCAGGACGTTCGGATACAACAGCGTCGACAGCGGCTATCGGATGTCCTTCAGGACGAGTGTTGTTTTTTGGGGTTCTCGGTCAGTCATGACCTTTTTATATCTTGGGCAGGATCGTTTGCGCCATAGCTCATTGTACCTGTTTTTTTTTTTTTCCGTTCTTTGCCTTATGAGGGTCCAGGGGGCCACGTTGAATATATATCCATTTGGTGGCGGCTTGGAATGTTCTGGACCTCTACACTCTCAATGCTGAGTAATCATTTGCCTTTTCCTATTTTTTGAGATCGGTGGCGTTATACTTAAGCGGTGGGCCACAAGGAAAACCAGGACAATACAGATTACCATACCTTAGAATGAAACAGCAACAACGTTGTCAGCACCCATCCCTGCATCTGTCTCGTATCAGAGTCGGGACCCGGTTGCACCCGGCCAGGATGGCCCAAGGGACAATGAACAAGGCATGTCATCGGGACATTTGTATTTAGAGATCCGACGCCCCGGAAGCAGACAGGAAGAGGGGCAAGGATCAGCTCTTGCTTTGAGAAGACACCTCTCCTTTGGAGCTGGTTCACAACAGAGACCGTCTTCGTTCTGTGCCATTGATGAGGATTCTTCTGTTGCACTCAAAACATCGATCAGCTCCACAAACGGGCTGGCTTGTCGACCGGCCTTGGGGACGAGGTGCAATGCGTGCCACTCCACGGAACTATCGACGTGCTACGCTGCACCTCTTGCTGCAAAACTTTCCAGTGGACAGATCAGGAGGATAGCGTTATCGCTGGCCAAGACCCCCGCTGCCCTGGTTGCCCGGATGCTCCCCGAAAAGCTGAGGCCCCCCCACGGCGATCGAGCACCATTGGGTGGTTGCGGCCTAATATAGTCTGCCTAGAGGAAGTACATCCGCAAGGTGAGGACATCGCGGACGTCATCAAACGTGACATATCCGCCCGCCCCGATATGTTCTTGGTCCTTGGAACGAGCCTCAAGCTGAGTGGACCGTGGGATCTGGTCAGGGGGTTTGCTAGGACGGTGAGAGCGGATGGCGGCAAGGTGATCTTCGTCAACCGTACTAAGGCATCTCAGCGAGGATGCAACGGAGTTTTTGACTATTGGATTGAGTGGGAGTGCGATAGTTGGGTAGGGGATTTGATAAGGAGGGGGGGCTTCTCTTGTAGCCTGGTGGTAGGTTCTGTTCCAACACGACCACGTACGACTCTCGGGGGGCACGTATCGAAGCAGCAGAAGAGGAGGCAGGGGAAAGAGTCCGTAGATAGACCGGGTTCCAGTTTCAACAATCCTATTGTACTAGATTAAATAGGACGGTGGAATTCTATATATCTATGAGGTGGCGACGCTTACGCTGGTATTAGATGCCTATATAAATCTTTATATCCTCGTTGCTGTCGTAGATAGGGTTCGTCTCCTCTGCCTCCCAGAACCTTGTTGAGTCGCAACACATTGTCCTAGGAGTGGCCGTAGCTAATACTGTTGCTTACGGTACTGGTGGTAGGAATCAGCTCGGCTCAGAACCTCGATACAAACTGTAGCCGCCCCGTTCGCATCTCGTTGTCATTAGGATACCATCACTCCCCCAATAAAGCTGCTCCCATACAGCGGTCCATGGCGTCACAGCTCAATCCTCACCTGCATATGTATCGGGCCGAGATTCGGCTTCCCAGGCTTTATCTCCAAGCTTACCGAGCAAATCATTGCAGTAAAAGTCCCTCTTCGTGGATGTTTACTCATCCATTTCTTTATCGTTGTCTCACAAATAGGAGGCTTTAGAGGCTACCGACAAGTGACCGAGCGCCGATGGTTACTTTATCCGGCAAGGTACGGGCGAAGAAATGCTCCTTTGGCATCCCACTGCCCCCAAGGCAACGGCATCATTGGGCACCTAGGACTCGTGGCGCTGCACAAGGAGAGACGGTGCCCTTGTTTTCGCGTGGACTACGGGGGTGGCCGCGCACCGTTGGTATACTGGCGGAATCCACCTCAAGGGCAAGCGCGACTATGCCGCCGAGGCTAGAGTGGTGAAGAGGACGGCAACAAGTCCAAATGGCTAGAGGGTAGCCTGGAGATCAGGATTACCCACTACTTATCGCCTATATATGAGCGGTGGAAGATGAAGATAGGGGGAAACCCGACTGAGGCCGTCTAAGCTGGCAGTCAGAAGGAGAAGGCTTGACGCCGGACGACTTGGAAGTTGGACACGGGATTTCTTGGGCTACTATCACACATAACGCTCGAGAGGCTCTCGCATAAATCCAAATGTTTTTGCAAATATATATAGTTCTTGGCTCCCTGTCCTGCGTTTCCCTGATGCCCTATCACTCTAGAGAGCTACTTACTGTGGCCGGCCTAGGCCTGATTGCTGTACCTGATCGAGCTCTAAACACATGTTGTCTGAAACAGGAACGACAAGGAGGGCCTCGGTCACGACTACACTCAGCTACAGCGGGATACTGGTAATGAAAGCTAATTGAGACACGTATAGTTCAGGATCTGGCTCGCCCTCACCAGCGAGGAATACGATGGCATACTGTTTAGAATCCCAGGCATTGATGCTGCTCCCGGGTTAAAGACCCTTCCCAAAACTCCGTGATATAACTACGGCTATCAGCCTGCCTGGCCAACCTCACACTATGACCTACAAATAAATCGATGAGCCCTGACTCTTACCTTGTAATTCTGTCTGATCGTAGATTTTGATTATCTCATCGATTAAATCCTCCTGCTTGTAGCTCCCCCTATTCTCGAACTGTAGATTGTCGGCTAGCCGTTTTCTACCCTCTCGTAATTCCTCTAAGGCAACTCCCACCGCGTTCGCAAACTGGTCAACTAAGTCATCTACTCACACGTAATTAGCGTTTTATTGCTGAAGGGCTGCCATAGCCTGATCCTTCTCTATTTCACGCCGCCTCTGGTCCATTATATGCTGACGCAGCTCCTTGTTCTCACGCTGGAGTATATTGATTTGCTCTTCCGACCAAGTAACTGGCCTTCTGGACTTTCGGACAGGATCGGGTCTTATATCGCCGGCTATGAACTTTCGCGCCTTCAAAGGCGCTGGTGCTATACTGTTGACGACATGAGGTAATTGTGGGAGAGTTTTACCCCAGTTCATGACTCCCTCGTCCCAGAATATGGGGAGTGTGGAGCAACGCTTTGTTTGCGAGATTTGGGGCAGAGTTTGTGATATATAATCGGAGAGCTGGGAAAAAAATAGCTGTATGCGACCGAACGCGCAAGACCACTCCTTCATTTCAAGTTCGAATAAGAGGGATTGGAGTGTGCTAAATGGTAGAACGGATTTAATATCATATACTTGTTATAAGGCCGTAATCCGGGATTCGGGCTATCTGCGGGGCAAAAATTGAGCGGCCGAGCCCACGTTTGCGGCTGTATCCCAACATACCACCCAACCATCTTCCATAGCATGCTAATGATTGAACGAGGTAAAGCGGGTTTGGAATGTCAGCAAGCCTGGGTTTGGGTAGTGAAGTCCTGCATTCCGGCTTACGAGTTCTTATATTTATAGGGGAGTTGACTCGCAACACAACCTGGGTGAACTACGAAGCGTCATTTTGCATGCAAGGAGTTAGAGATACCCGAGAAGCTGAGCCAACCAACGTACCCTGCCCACTATAACAATAGCTCTGTGGGTGTTGCTGTCGCTGTTCTGGGCTACAGACGCCCTCTCTACGGACTTCCTCAACAGCCCTATTATTTACATCTCCGACCCTCCAATGCAGCTGTGTGACGGATCGTCTCTCAACCACACTCTGAAAGGGTTCACTGAAGGTATGACGTAAGGGTTGTGATCCGGTGAAGCCAAAAGGTTCACAACAAGATAATGATCTGGTCTCAATGTTCACAGCGTCGTGCAAGTTGCAATAAACAAGTTATATTGCTTACTGGAGAACTCCCAGAGTCCTCCAGGGTGCTGCTATTTATCTATCTACTGTTGGTGAGGCATCCTGATACCTTTGTGATGTACCTTCGTACGTCTGCTCTGTGACCCTTTCCAAAGTCTCCGCAGAGCATCCTCCTATTGGTTGGTTCTCTGCTCTGTGTCCATTCTCAAATTCCCCACAGAGCACCCTCCCATTGGCCTTCTCCCGGCCCGTCCTTGTGCCGGCTGGTCCGTGCGGACGCCTGTTGGTTTAACCCGTGACAGGATTGAAATTACCAGACTTTAGAGATTGAAAACCTAAAACCTTTTTCGCTCTTTCTATTGTCTTTTATGAAATTAGTTCCTGAATTCAAATTTGGTTAATATCTAGATAGTAACAAATTTCTCTTTTTTTCTTGCCTGTCTTTTGTCTTGACCGACACACGCCGTTTAATTCACTTGACTCAATTCCATGATATACATGAAAACTTGGCATCAGCCCATCGTATTGTTCTAACCCAACTCTGGGAGTACTGTATGACTTTGCCTACCCTAATCGGAACGGGCTGACGTGATGCCGTAAAAGAAACTACACTAAGCTAACACCCCTTCTGAAGGTTCGTGTGTCTCTCAACAACACCACAACGAAGTTCAACCTTGGTGTGAGTGTAAGACCAAGGAATAGCCCAGAGATGGCGACTGTGCGCAAAGCCACAAAGTTCAAACCGGGAAACCAAATCGCGCCACTAAGAAGAATGAGGAAAGGATATAACCTGAACCTTTGACCCAGCCCGTAAGCCTAGCGGTCTGAGCGCCGCAGCACGCTAGCACGGTGATTGACGCTGTCACATGTTTTCAAGACCCAGGAATATCCTCCCATCATCTGCTGGACTAGTCTGCTGTCAAGCTGCGGAGTGTTACGATGTAGCGAATTACAACTTGTCAACTCGTGAATTACACTAGTGTAGAGATCAGGGTTCTCAATCAATCAACAAGCAACCTGCAATGGCAATCGCATTTCAGCACAAGTGGAAACCGTACCCTTGCTACCGTTGCATCGCCGACCGGTCACACCGGGGTATGCCGGCTTGGCTTTCCCGTTGGCCGAGATAATTGCACATACATCACGGGCCGGTGAGAAGAAAAGGGGACACGGGAGCACGGCTCTCGATCTTGTTGGCCGTTGCGGGTAATCTTCGGGCTGTTGGGTGGAATTTGTCGGTATCGGATCGCGACGTGCAGTGGAGAGAGAAAAGAAAGTTAGGGGTTGGGTTGGATGGGGTGGAGGTGCTGGGTGGATATGGGAAAGATTGCACTTTTTGATAGGTTTCGTTAAATGGCCGTGAGAAAGGAGACTGGGCGTGGACGAGAGGAGAGTGATTTGTGCCTCGGTGGAAAGTTTTGTGTGTTTCGGTTAATTACCACGATGGCTTGTTTGTCCATGGAAACGTAGCGGCTGGGCGGCGCTGCCAAGGTCCATGAATCAAGCCCGCTACGGAGGATTTTGTTTCCTTTTCCTTGACAGAACAAAGACATTTGGCCTGTGCTGAAGTGCTGAATGGGCCGCTCCACTGCTCTGTACACTAGTGTGGGTGTACACGAAACTCTTAGTCACAGGCTATTGTGAGGCGTTTCTGGCGGAGGTTAATGAGTCGGGTAAATGGAAGATGTGCCATCCTGGACGCCGCGTGGCAATCGCGAGAAAGCGAGATTGTGCTACAAGCTCACCCGACGATCGTTCGACCATGCCGAGGTCGGAACAAAGGCGTCTGACAAACTGCGTTTGTCCGGGGCGCCGGCTGTCAAACAGCTTTGTCGGGGTTTCGAATACCGAATCCTAAGCTCCCGAGGCGGCTTACGGTCTTTGTTTCGACCGTGCGCCGTTGTCAAACCGCCCGTGACAGAGTTGACAGGCTCGCAAGACTTACCCGAGAATGTTGGATCGAAACAGGGCGTCCTGCATGGCGAAGGGCACGGTCTTTAACTTAACGGCATCGGAAACTTGACTAGAAACGATTTTCTCTCGTGCGCCTGCACGATTCTATCACCCTGTCCTCTTGACCCGACTGAAGCGAGCGTGACAACCGCCTGAAGGGGGAGACGGAGGTGAGTGACCATGAGAGTTCCATGGCCGATCTTGACTTTTCAGGCTGACCTTAGCGAGGTTTCGGTTTGCGCACGTCCTCTCAGGTTCTTGGCTTTTGGTTCCCCAGTTTTTCCCACGTTGCGTTGCAGGCGGAAGGGGTGGAAAAGAGGACTCGATTGGGCAATGCTGCAGTCCATCACGTGGAGCACTTCGAGTTTGGGAAAGAACGCTGCAGGAAAGGCTGCAGGCCGCAGTTGCCAGTCAGTCTTGCCAGTCTTTGCCATTTTCGCCAGTGTGCCAGTTCCGTTCACGCACAAGAAAGGGCCTCCGCTTATCGTGGAGAAAATCAAGGTTTGATGGAGCAACAAGCTCTTGTTGGCGCGATTTTTCACTAGAAGCTAGTTTAGCCCCGCTTGATCTTTTCATCCCATGGCCCGCATCGATCGCCCGACGCCAAAAGAAACACGAGATCTCGAGGCCGGAAAAAAGGTGAGACAGCATTAGTTAGCAACAAGCGCAGGCCAAGCCCGATGCTGACGACAGACCAGCAAACCCGCCCGCAATCGAACGACAAAGTGTCATTGACGATCTCCCGTAGCTTTTGATCTTGCCAAGCCAGCGCAGGAGGTTCACAGGGGCGGTGTTGCCTCAGAAGCGTCGCTGTGACGGTGACTTTCCGCTGAGGCCCGAGCGTTCCTGGTACCGTTCATTGGTTATCAGCTCTTCGTTTGGGGATTTTCGCTGCAACGCGGGACTCTGACGTTTGCGGGTTGGTGTTCGACACTCCCGGGATTCCCTTTCCTGCGCTCCCAACGTCCGAGCCACCGACCATCCCGTGTCAACGATGTTCACCATGGACCGGGAAACCACCATGGAAAGAGGTGCCCGCGGTCGACTGAATGCAATTTCAAAGCCCGGAAACCAAAGCAGCGTGATTGGATTCAAAAGGGCAAACAACGGCCAAATTTGCCAAGGAGGTCGAGATTCTCCAGTCGACTCCGCACTGGCTCCGGTGATATGCAGTTGTGATGGATTTCGGGAAGCGTCTGGGAACGTAACGCAGGGTCCACCCTGACACACACAAACGCAGGGGTCGAGACTTGGGTTGGCTCGTTGGCAACCCTCCCATGCCTCCCACAGCGATGTTAAGGCTGTTCCCGGGATGTCAAAAGCTTTTCCTTGTCCGTGCTGCTGTCAGCGGTGTCGCCACTGGTGCTTGACGGGTGACGACCCTTCTTTCGCCCCGTTCTCGTCGAATCGAATTCCAAGTGTACGACCTGGTCGCCTCTCCCTGAAGGTTAACTAGTGCAGCGGCCCCCTCGACGAACCAGCTTCTCATAACAAGAAAACGATGCCCAGCTGCACAACGCTCCCGCGGTCAAATGTGCTTTTTCCTAATCGCCATCTTTCCGGATGAACCGACCTGAAGAATCCGCACTTCGGGGACCAGTTCGTCGATCGTCGATCTACATTTTCCACCTCAGCACCACCGGGGAAGATTGGGGGTGGAGAAAGGGGGAGGGGAGTGCATATTTTTACCACGAACTTCCTGTCTTATAAGGCAATCTTCCCATCTCCTGCCCAGGGCAGTGTGAGGCAAGCCGGAGAAGGAGGTTGAAGATTACCATCAGGGTTCACCCACGACTGACCGGCCTCTGACTTGGGGCAGTGTCTACGATCACTCGGACCGTGGGTACCGCACCAGCCCCGTACCGTAGGATATCGATAATCGGCATACAACGGCACTTCTCATCACCGTTGTCACCATGCCGAGGCCGAGTCCGTATCCCGAGCTGGACGGAGAGTCCCGCGTCGGGGCGATTGTCGCCATCCTCGTCGTGGGCAGCGTCTTGTCGACCTCCGCTGTCGTGCTCCGGTGCTATTCCCGCGCTGTTATGCTGCGGTGTTTCGGCTTGGATGATGCTGTTATGATTCCAGCACAGGTACGCACGCCATGTCAGAGGAGGAAAGGGGACGGACATTTAATCCAGGGGGCGGACAACACGGCATACGACGACTCGAGTGACTGACAAATTGCTGGACAGATTTTGACGATTGCATCGGCCATAGCGATAGGATTGGGTATGAGCCTTCCGTCTTTCCCCTCGCTCCCCTTTTCAACGCTGACCGTAGTAATTAGAGGCAAAATATGGCCTCGGCCGCCATGTTTGGATGATGCCCGAAAAAGACAACATCCCATACATGAAGGTGGGCACAACATGCTACTATCGTTAAGCAGGGGCCCGATGATTAACACCTGCAGTGCTTCTACGTCTCCATCATCGTGTACAACGTGGGCATGGCGCTCACCAAGATCTCGACGCTGCTCCTGTACAAGCGCATCTTCAACCATACCATGATGCACAAGGTGGTCATGTACGGGCTCGCCTTCCTCGTCTGCTGGGCCATCACGCTCTGCTTCCTGTTGCCGATGGTGTGCATGCCGGTCGCCGCGTTCTGGGATCCCTCGGTCAAGGGCTTCTGTCTGGACAACGGCACGATCTGGTATGTCATGGCGGGCGTCAACTTGGTGACGGATTTCACCGTGTTCTCGCTGCCGATCCCGGTGATTAGCTCGCTGCAGCTGCCTAAGAAGCAGAAGGCGATGCTGTTGATTGTGTTTACCCTGGGTGTTTTGTAAGTCATTTTTGTTGATTCTTTCATCCTCTGACGTACTAACACTACCTACTAGCCCCTGCGCCGTGTCAATCTACCGCATCCGCACCCTCTCCGCCGCAGCCAAATCCACCGACCCAACCTGGGACAACGTCGACGCAGCCACCTTCTCCTTTCTCGAGCTCGCCGTGGGCGTCATCGCCGTGTGCCTACCGACCCTCCGACCCATCCTCATGCGCGCGATGCCCCGTGTATTCGGCTCCTACCTCCGTTCCAATCCCAGCCGCAGCGCCGGAGCTGGTGGGACCGGCGGAACCGGCAGTCGTTTCGGCGGTACGCGCTCGAGCCGCCTGGCTTTTGGCCGCGGGGGTACGACGGGGGGCAGTAGCGTCGTGCCTGTTGTTGGTGGCAGTCATGGGACAGGCGACGACACCTTACTCGACAGCGACGGCAGCACCGGGGGTGTTGGGGTATCCTCTCTCGCTCGAGCTGCATTTAAAGGTGGCGGCAACGCTCTTCGGGGAACGGCGAGCACAGAAGGCTTACGCCGGGGTGGTGATGAGGAAGAAGGCGGGCTGGCGCGCTGCCGGACCGGTAGTGAGGAGATAATTGAGTTTGGGGAACTAGACAAGACGGGACTGTCAAATAGTCCTGGGGGTAGGAACCGGTATAGCGTGAGTGTGGTCGCGGGATGGGATCCGGACGGGGGTACACGGCTGGGAAAGAAGAAGAACAAAGATAGTATTAGTGGCGGTGCTGGTGGTAATGGTAATGGCGGGAGGTATCATCATCAAAAGGAGAGTAGCGGGGCGGGGATTCAGGCGACGACGACGGTGACACAGATGGTGACGTTTACGTCGATGATGGAGGAGGAGAATGAACGGCGGTTGAGGGAAACGAAGGAGATGATGGGGGCTAGGGGACGGTAATTTGGTTATATGATTGGCTTGGTTGTACGATTCCTGTGATGATTTCAGAGATACCCACGGATCAATCCGATATTTAATACTTGCATCTGTCTCTCTGTTTCGAGGATGAAATGTCAGGTAAATGGATCCGAGAAAGGCGATAAGTAATACGCTGTATTATGGGAAATAATTAGGAGTCTCTTCCTGAGTGTCACGCATCTCACTGACTAACATAACGATGTTTAGTAGCGCAGGCACTGCGAGGTTGTAATTAATACGCAAATAATACACCAAGCCTCGAAACAAGAGAAGCAGACAGTACATTCAGACCCTGATCAAAAGTTACCTCGCACTGAACGGTAACATTGGGTGAAGAACAGGGTCGAAACAAGCAAAATACACGCGCAACTCCATCAAACTCGCCAGCTTCTTGAATCATTGATCCTGGTCTCCCCCTGCTGCAACCGACTCACTCCATACACCGTTGCATTTCCCATTTCTGGTATCAAATATAGCGTACAATACATTTCGATTTCGCCTCCCGAGAAGAATCTCCCCCAAAAGAGACCCCCCTAAAAGCCAAACCCTTCAAATACCCTTTCAAACACCTATCAAACCCTAACCCCCAACCCTGTCCCCCCCTCAAAGCCTTTAACCTCCGGCCTCCTCGTTATTCTCGACTCCGGCCTTAAGGTTTGTTTGTCCGTCTCTGATCTCAGCGAATAGCTCCCGTTCATCAGCACCCCCATCCCCGCTATCTAAAGAAGTGCAAGCCGCCGATAAACGAGTCAGAACCTGGACCGGACGGTTATCATGGCCTTGTAATTGTCTCGAACGTATGCCTTTACCTGCTTATCGCTCACCGTCCATCATCCCTCGTTCGTCGTCCTTTGTCCGCCGTCGTGTGGTGGTTGGGTCTTTTTTTAGGTGGACGGTTGGGATGGTCCCGTCTGATGCGGACTTGCACTCGGTGTACCTCGACTGTGACTGTGACTTGCACTAGGACGCGTATTGGGACTAGGCCTCGTGCTTGTGCTTGCGATGGTTCTGTTCCTGCTTGGGGTGTTGAGTGCCGCGGTGTCGTTGTTGCTGTCGACATCATCATCCCTGCGCTTGCGTTTAAGAGGGCGGGGGGATTGCGACGATGGCTTGGTGGGGAGAGTTTGGGATGAGTTTTGGTTTTGGCTTTGGTGGTTGTTGTTGTCAGAGAGGTGGGAGGGTTTGGGTCTTTTGGCAGCGGGTGTTGTTCCTGTCGTCGTGGCGTTCTGGCTGCTGGTGTTGTTGTCCCCCGTCTTAGTATTCTCAACCTGATTATCAACAACCTCAATGTTCCGTTTTGTCCCCTGCCCAGCCTTCTTAAAACTCTGACCACCACCGCCACCGCCACCACTGCTGGTCAACCCCCCGTTCGACACCCCCCTAACAACCCCATCACCCACCCCATTCACTCTCGGCCCAACCTCCCCAAGTATTCGTCTGTTTGTCGGATCCCACAGTTTTTTATGCTCTCGCGTCCAGTCCGGAGCCGTCGCGAAATGTATCAGACTCGGCCTCCGCCACTGGTTTCGCTTGAGATGCCGGTCGCGGATTTCTTGGCGGAATGTGGCGAGCTCGTTGGCGCGTGGGAGGGAAGGGGTCGATAAGGGGGGGCCCCAGCGGAGGAGGGCTTTTGTGATGGTGTAAGCCACTGGGGCGGGAGGGATGGAGGGGGTTGGAAGGAGAGGTAAGTGGTTGGGATTGGGATTGGGATTGGGATTGTCTTCATCATCGTCGTCCTCGTCGTCGCCATCTTCGCCGTCGTTATCCTCGCTACCGTCACGCTCGCTATCATCATCATCGCCGTGCGTTTTACCGGGTTTCTGAGGTGTAGATGAGGCTCTGGTGTTGATCCTTGGGATGGTAGTGAGGTCAGTTTGGCGCGAGATAGCGGTTTGGCTGGGGTTTGTCTGGTCATTGGCATTGTTATCGTCGTCATCGTCGTCCTCGTCTCCCCCATCCCCGCTGTCGATGTCCCCTCTGTTGCTGTCCTCGCTATCATCATCATCGTCGCCGTGGGCTTTCTTGCGGTTCGGAGGTGCGGGGGAGGCTTTGGTGTTGGTCCTTGGAATGGTGGTAATGTCTGTATGGAGCGAGACAGCGGGCTGGCCGGGGTTTGTTTGTGTTTCTCCTGCCATGATTGCTTGAGGGGGGGAAGGAGTTCTGTAAGGTGGTGGTTTATCTATAGTCTTATCGTTTTTGTCGTTACTGTTGTCATCTTCTTCCTCATCCTCATCCCCGCCATCCCCTCCCCCATCCTCAGCTTCATCTTCCCCTTCCTCATCCCCTTCCTCATCGTCCCCATCCTCATCCTCGTCCTCCTCCTCATCCTGATCCTCGTTATCAGGAATTTCCATTAGATACTCATAGTAGAGCCCCATCAGCCGGTGGAGGGAATCGCAGATCTTGTTGCGCATGTCAAACAGGTATTCAAGCCGCTCGTCGTCGTTCCCGAGCGGCGCCCCGGGGATGCCCCACCAGTCAAGACACTCATACCGTACCACAGCCACGGCGTTAAGAATGACATGAAGCCCACAGCTCCACTTGTTTTGCTGGTCTAACAAGTCCACGATATGAAGCCGGCTACGGTAGCCCACGTCTTGCAAGTTCGATCTTGCCAGCCACTCTTGGAACGCGCGCCGGGCTCGCATTGCTCGGATCTCCCTGCCACATTCAACGGAATCGAGATAGTAGAGCATGTTGCTCGATCGTTGATAGATGACGAGCGCCCAGTGGTTGTTGTGGTGGGATATATGCAACGTGAGCTTGGCCTGGAGAAATCGTTGCCTCAGCCGTTGCTTCTCCCCCGGCACTTCTACCTCGCCTAGTGCATAGGATTGGTATTGTGGCGGTTGCTTCTTTCTCTTAATCACTCGGAGAAGGTACTGGTCCGGCACCACAAACCAGTGCCCCGACGTCCTGATTCCCAGCCGCGCCTGCGGTTGATCCTGGCTGTACGTGAGCAGCCGCTCGATAAGGTGGAAGATGCTTTCGCCTGATAGCCACCACCCGTTGCGTAGGCACAAAAGTCCATCTTGGCTGTCTGCCCATATCCGGCAGATGTTGAGGTTGTCAGTCGGGTCAAGATCAGGACGGGTGATCCGTTCGTATGTGTTCCAGATAAAGCTATTGTCGAGTTGACCTTTACTTATTGGTTCGTTGAATCTGCTGTCCCCTGCGACGTTTATCAATCCGTTGCCGAGCTTCGAGCCATCGTCGTTTAAATCTCTGTTATCTGGCAGGTTCCACTGCAACGTTGCGGCTGGCGTGTTGTAACCCCCAAAATCAGCCCGAAGAAGTTCCAGATGCCTACGGGACCCTTGGGTTGTCCAATCCGGGTCTGCCGCTTGTCCTGCCATGATTTGTTCTGCCTCTCCCTTTCTCCCTCTTTAACTACTTCTGCCCTTCCTACGAACCTCGGGATGCAATGTCGTCGTTACCCAGTGCTTGGGCTCTTCTTGGTTCGATTGGGATCGACCATCCGCGGCTGTCTTCGTTACGGTACTCTCATCAATATTGTCTTCTTTTTCGCTCTGTGAGTAGTATACTTGGATAAATACCTTTCAGCCATCATGTTGTGTGTAATACTCGACAACAAAGATAGGTATCAAAGGCTCCGCTCGTGGCTTTCAATTATTACCTCGAGGTACCGCATTCGGGGTGTTAACTGGCCCTTTGTGTGCTTGTGAATCATCGCTTTGAGGAGATCACAATCGGTAAAATCTTTGAGGTGCCCAAATAGCTCAACACCATTTGCCGTGCCCTCAGGGACATAACTGGGAGCTGATCCGAGCCGATCTGAGGCTGAGATGGGCAGGACAGTAGTGCTATACATTGGGCACCCATCAGCGGCAAGTCTAATTAATTCTCTCAATTGCAGCCGTCACCGAAATATAGGACCCTATCTAGGCATGGGGCCTCGTCGCATTGATAAGCCGAAAAGAATATCGGACGGGTTGTTCGGAACATGGGTTGATCTTGACATACTAGACTAACAGCAATCGTTAGGATTTGGTAATTAGTTGATCTCTAGGTGCTCTGATCTATCGTATCTATCTCCACGCAGCATGTGCCGTAACCAAGCCGAATACCTACATACTGCGACCGGCGTTAGCTGCTAGTATTCTTTGTTTGGACGGCCATTGTTGGATTCGATCCGTTGTTTCCTATTAGTATTGCCTACTAAACATCCTGTTGTTCATGATTCAATCGGATTTAGCCTGTGTTGAGGATGAGATTGATAGCAATGTCCCCATTCAGAGCATTAATTGCCGCTGACTCGTTATCCCTGACAACAGGGCTCGGTCCATACAGAATACAACCACAGCCCTATCTGGGCATACAAAGACGATGCCAGATGGCCCTAGAAAGCTCCTTTCCTTCTTCTCCTTTTCCCTCTTCATGATTACTACACTCGTAGAGTCATCACCAGATAGTCGCAATGTACCGCCTGGGACCGTTACAGGACCTAACTAATAAATGACACATTGTGACGAGGAAAGATTGAAATGACAGCGCAAGGCAACAACCACCCTCAAATATTAGAGCCGAGCACGTGACGATAAGTGGGGATCCCGTCAATTATTAGCCGAAGCCAGAGGTCAGAGGGGGTTTCCGGTTTCGGTTTGAACCCGTCTTGAATTTTACCTGTCAAACATTACCCGCTATAGGCCACAGCAAAGCTATCCAGATATATACAATGGTTGACGCCAGTATACACGATACCCAACTAACGACAATTGACCAATCTGCTCGACCAACTGAGCTAGTCGCCGGCAACAGCGGCGTCCCAGCCTACCACGCGATTCTCGGTCGAGAATCCAGAGAAGAGGCTGGCATCGCAGCAAATGTTGGCGAACTGCCAGAGCATAACTTCGCCCCCGTTGGTATCTCCAAGTCGTTGACCATCCGCCTTTACGCCTCCCACTTCCTGTCAACATGGAATTCCCGCTTATTCGAGGCCGCTGTCGTCTACTTCCTCGCCTCCATCTTCCCTGACAACCTTCTGCCCATCTCCGTCTACGCCCTAACTCGCAATGTCGCCGCAATTGCCTTTACCGTACCCGTGGGCAATTGGATCGACCAGGCCAACCGTCTAACCATTGTTCGCACCTCCATTGTCAGCCAGCGCGTCGCTGTCGCCGCTTCATGCGGCCTCTTTTGGGTCATGTTGGAGCAGCCCCTCAGTACCCAGGCGCTGGATGGGCTCTTCTCAGCCACCGTGATTCTGGCCTGCGTGGAGAAGCTTTCTGCCGGGGTGAATCTGGTCTCGGTCGAGAGAGATTGGGTCGTTGTCATCACTGAGGGCAACGAGGCCGCTCGGAGGATGATGAATGCTCGAATGCGCCGCATCGATCTGTTCTGCAAGCTGCTTGGCCCTTTGACTATCGCCCTGATCGCCGCAGCATCTGTCCCGACTGCTGTTTGCTCGACTCTCGGTATGCACCTGGCGTCAGTTCTGGTGGAATACCTTTGTATTGAGACGGTAATTTTGCGATCCCAAAGATGCCTCGTTGCTGAGGACCGGGTGCTGAAAGATTACTAGGTATTCCGCAGGGTTCCAGCTCTCCGCCGTTCCACGAGCACGTCGAACCACCAGCAATTGCCGTACACCACTTTCCGACAGCGGTTTCAGCGTATAGCATCGCAGATCCTAATGATACCCTCCTTACGTCTGTACTTTGGCCACCCAGCAGTTATTCCGTCGCTTTGTCTCTCTCTACTATACCTCACGGTGCTATCGTTCTCTGGCCAGATGCTGACATACCTGCTTGCTTCCAACATCAACTTGTGGCAAGTAGGCATCATACGCGGTGTCTCGACAATATTCGAGCTCAGCGCTACCTGGATCGCACCCCGCCTAATGAAGCGCATTGGCGTCATCCGAACGGGTTTGTGGTCTATCAGCTGGCAGATGACGTGGCTTGCCGTTGGTGTCTCATGGTTCTTCTACTATTACGGGCGTGGCTACCCATTGACCAACCTTATGCCAGCTGCAGGACTCACCGTTGCTGTGGCTTTAAGTCGTATTGGCCTCTGGGGGTTTGACCTATCGGCGCAGAATATCGTGCAAGATGTAATTATATTCCGCCTCCATTCTCCCTCCCTGTATCCCCGTGCTGACTAACTCCCGCCCAGGAAGTCCAAGGCGATCGCAGGGGAATATTCTCCACTACCGAGACCTCGTTCCAGAACGTGTTCGACATGTTTGCATGGGCCCTGACGATCATCTGGTCAAAACCAAGCTCGTTCCAGTGGCCAGTCCTTGTCAGCGTTGCAGCTGTCTATCTAGCGGGTGGATTCTATGCCTCTTTTTTGCGCCGGCGTAGGGGACATCTCATCCATGTACCGTCGTGTCTCGATCCTAAAGTAGATGTATAATGAATCTTAGGACCCCCCCTATGAAAGGGGTTTGCGAAAGGTAGTGAGGTACTCGAAACAGGGTGACCCTCGTTAAAGCCAAAAGCCTCATGAAAGGCAAGTTATAGCTATTCGAAAGATCAGCGGCAATGTAATTAGCGAAACATATGATCAGGCAGGTACCTTAGGTTTCCTACCTTCTCACCGTTGATAGTCGCCTCTCACTGGTGCTAATACTCTATTATCTCCATCAATAATTTCCTGCCTCTTCATCTGAGACCATCTTTCCTTAGCTAACTGCTTGTATCGCCCACCTATTGCGGAGTTTAGCGTTTCTCGTAAACGACTGATTCTAAACTGTAATGGTCAATCATCGCCTTCATGGCACTTCTTCGTGACCTCGATAATACTGGTGAGCGCCCTGCAGGTCTATCGGCATGCTCACCCCAGCTGTGGTGATGTTGGTGAGCACTTGCCTGTACGGCCTATTGACTGTTGCATGATTCAGCCCTCTGGCACTCCCCGCGCTAGGTAATCGGGCCATTGGCTGGTGTCACAGTATAAAAAAGGCCCACTTGCTGCGGCAATTGTCGATTGTCTTTTGCCGTCACAGCCTCTGGCCGGCGTCTTCCCCCACTCGGCGCACAGACCGCCTACACCGTACCTACCCATCGAGGGTTAACCTCCGCAGCACTGCGAAAACTTCCTATTCCTAAAAACTACCCCTTACTCTACGCAGCTTCAAACTTCGCTTTTCTCCAACAGTGTCTCACCATGGCCAACCTTTCAGCCAGATGGACTCGGCTAGCCTCAAGTGAGCGACTCGGACGCTCATCCCAATCGTTTTCCGTGTTACACTCTCAGGCATGGGTCTTTGGCGGAGAGTTGCTCCCCCGAGAACCAGTAGACAATCGACTTGACCTCATCGAGCTTAGTCCCGGACACGGTACGATACTGCTGTTCTGATCTATAAACTGCTGATTATGTACCTCCTGTAGGACCAGCTGACGACTTGCTTCCCAGGATCTACCGCCGCCATTACCCTTGAGGCACCTACAGAAGCGCCGACTCCCCGCGTGGGCGTAGCTAGCGTTGCCGTTAAGGAGGCGCTGTATCTGTTTTCCGGGCGAGGCGGCCTCGCTATGGCGCCTATTGAGGAGAAAGGCGCGCTCTGGCGCTACACACCGAAGCAGCTTCTCTGGGAACTCATCGAGCCCGCAGATTCCTCTGCACCGTACCCCGCCGCTCGCAGCTATCACTCCATGACCTCGGATGGCAACGATAACATCTACGTTCACGCCGGGTGCCCTGAAAAGGGCCGTCTATCCGACCTCTGGTCGTTTAATGTTCCGTCAAAAACCTGGACCGAGTTACCGTCTGCCCCGCCACCTGCCCGCGGAGGGACGTCAATTACCTTCAGTAACGGGAGGCTGTACCGCATGAATGGCTTTGACGGCGAGAGCGAGCAGGGTGGTGCAATTGATGTCTTTGACCTTGCAGTTCATAACTGGTCAACGATTTCTTTCACACCCGACGGTATCCACGGACCCGAACCACGGAGCGTCAGCGCACTTGTCGCGGTGAAGGTGAAGGGGAAAGACTTTCTTCTGACTATGTTCGGGGAGCGCGACCCAAGCTCCCTAGGCCATGCCGGCGCGGGGAAAATGCTGGCAGATGTATGGGCTTTTGACCTCGAGCGCAAGGAGTGGGCAAAGGTTGAGCCAAAAGATGACACTCCACTTCCGAGAGGTTGGTTTGGCGCAGACGTGATGGTTGCCGATAATGGAGAGTATGCTACCATTATCCATGGCGGTCTTGCGGAGGATAACTCGAGGCTTAGAGATGTATGGAAACTGCAATTTGAGTAGGCGTGGCAAGTCTTAAGCAGAGCTATTACTCAGGCACGCCACAAATTCGTATCTGACCTGGTGTTATGTAATGGCCCTAAAGTGTGTATTGCAACTAGCTGGTGACAACTATACGAGCATCCTAAACTCGAGGAGGGAAAAGGAGAAAAAGAAAAAAGAACGGCCTGCCCGTGGTACCTCTATATGGCCCAGGCAGTGGCCCCCCTCCAGCGTCAAGAAACGTTCAGTGTAACGTCGGGTCGCTGAGATCAGACGGTTGTGTCTGTGTCTGAGTATTTGACTTGGCCGAGTGTGTTCAAGATCATCAACAGGGTCCAGCCCGTTAGACCTATAGGTATCATGGAAGCTATTTTGAGACGCTCGGGGTTGCATAAACTCAAAATCAGTTAGACACCTCCAGATTACGTCTGGATATGGCGATTTCCGAAGGAATGTTTTCTTACTCTCTTTAGATTGGGGTTCATTTGCCCGTCGTGCAACAGGGCGGATATTAGCTGCTAGATTTCCACGCTACAAAACGGCATAGCCACTCCCGATTTGATTAGCGGGTCTTGCGATGCTCGGGCGTATGTGATGTTTCTAGAATTTAGACAAGGTTAGTGGGTTGTATTATAAACCACCGAAACAGTTCTCTAAAGAGGGCCTTACCGTAATCAATGTGCACAAAAGCTCGGGCGAACCCTTCGACCGTCTCAAGCTTGTCTTGTAGTTCTTGCGCGACATCATGGACTTCGCGAAGGCTGCGCTCAGGCGCCATGACAATGTCCACCTCGACGAAGAATTCCTCCCCCCAGTGATACGCATGAACAGTATCGACTTTCAGAATCAGATCGGAATGGCGAAGCGTCAGAAACACAATTTCTTGCACAAGGCTAGGCGAGGCTCCCAAGCCACAGAGTTCGAGAAACTCGGATCGGACCGTGCCAATCCAGGTGACAATAATAACGCAGGCAATGAGCATGGCGCCGGCCGGGTCAACCCACCATTGTAGCTTTGCGCCCGCGGCAGAGGTGAAGATGGCAAAGCCGTACTCGAAGCAGTCGTTGCGGTTGTCCTCCCACAGCATCTGCAGCTGGCTGCTGTGCTTGCGGAATATGAAGCAGTAGATAGCGAGGAAGAGCTTGATGCCAAAGCCAGAGGCCGCAGCGACGATGGCGGCGATCTCGAACTTTCCGAGCTCGTGGTTGTCGCTCGCGAGAGCGCGGATCGACTCGACGACCAGGACCAGCGAGACAGCCATCAAGGCGAAAGCGAAGCAGATATTACCGGCGTTGCAGAGGCGCCCTGCGCCCGCGGGCCAACGGGTTGAGTCGTTCAGCTGTTTGGACTTTTTATGCAGGTAGTTAAGGCCGATGTTACTGAAGGCCTCGCAGCAGCTCTCTGCCATTGTGACAAAGAGTGATAGGGAGCGAGTCGTGACGGCCGCGTAGATTTGCAGCGCGGCGACGAGGATGGTGCCATAGATGGAGGCGTAAACAGCGGCTTTTACGTGAAAGGCCGAGGTGTCTGGTTCGCCGTCTAACAGTCGCGCTGCTGTGGGGTCTTCGGCCACCTGGATGAGACGGTTGATGTGTAGATTTTGCGTCGTGTGGTAATTGTGCGCCCGGCGAACTCGCCGGTGAAACCGGTTGGTCAAGGAGGATGAGTTGGGCGGGTTGACGAGGGAATTGCGCAGCCGCTCAAGCTCAACGTCGCTTGCGAAGGGAAGTGTGTCCATGTTCATGTTGACCGCCAATTGCAATGATGATGAAGAAGATATGGATATATTGCTGGGGTTGGCGCCGAGTGGTTGTGGAAAGAGGCTTGGGGTGTTGCCACCTGCCAAGCCGCTAGGATGCTAAATGATACGTCTCAGATTAGGTAGTATTAAAGGGGACTTTATCCACCGCTACGTTCGGGTGTACATACTGTGTAGCTACATAAAGAGCGGGGAAGAATGTGATAGGCTGGGCCCACACCAGTACCAGTCAGCCCCGGTGGAAGGGTCCAAGTGTTTCGACTGTCTGTCCAGTGACAATTCTACGAGTATCAACAATTTTGAGGAAAAGACAACAAGAGAAGAATGAACTAGTCAAGAAGGTGGCCCTTTTCTAGGTAGAGGGGCAGTAACCCGTAGGGGCAGATATGATGGGGATTGCCGAATGAGATTGATCAGAAAACTGCCTCACAACTCGGATGAGCAATTGGGTGGGGAAGCGGGGCGTGAAATGAGATTGATAGAGTGAGGTCACCCGAACATAAGAGTAGGATTACCGATTTTCATGGCGAACAGTTGAGAAATAACTTGGGTACTTTTCAAGATCCTTTGCAGGCTCTGCGCAATGCCTTGCCTACATCGGCACATTGACTGACTCTCAAACGCAAATTCCTTGAGCTAGGGTTCCGCATGTGGTTAGCTGAGATGCTCAAAACGGAACGCTGTTGACTGCAATTGCCAGTCTCCCGCTCTCTCAGCAGCTCTGTGTGAATCAGCTTTGGCAGATGCCAAGATTGATCTGGCAACTGCAACTCACAACTGTGGGCCTGGGCCCTGATACTGCAGCGCACCAGCCAATCAGAATCGATAACAAGATCCCTGCCAAAAAGTTGAAAAGTTTCAGTCGAGATCTCTTTCCGCTTGCGCCTTCCCTCACCAACCAGGCAAAAAGCAACACGTTCCAACTGACTTTCCTCAAAAGTCGCTGGATTTCCGTGTCTTTCCCTGCCTCGTGATGGTTCAACTTACCCAACTTTGGCGAACTGCGATTGGTTTCTCGATTCATTCGCACAAGCGCATCCTGCAGTCGCCACGAGCGCTGCAAACTGCAGTTTCGACCACCGTCACCCAACAGCAAACACTGCTCGTTCGGCCCCGTACCTTTGCAACGACCGCAGCAATGTTGACCACCGACGCTAGCAATGGCAAGCTGTACGCCGACCTGGAGGGGCGGCTGCAGCCGCAGCTGCTCCAGGCGCTCAGTAACCACAACTTTGTGAACATGACTCCCGTCCAGGAAAAAGTGCTGTCGCTGCCGAGCTTTACGCAGGACTGCCTGGTGCAGGCCAAGACGGGCACGGGCAAGACGCTCGCCTTTTTGTTGCCGGCCCTGCAGAACCTGCTGTCGGCGCCGGACCTGGACAGGTCGTCAGTCGGCCTGCTCGTCATGGCGCCAACCCGCGAGCTGGCCCAGCAGATCAAAGACGAGTGCGACAAGTTGACCAGCGCCTGCTCGCCGCCTGTGGAATGCCACCTCGCTGTTGGTGGCGCCAACAAGGCGCCGCAGCTGAAGCGTTTCCTCAATGGCAAGCCGACCGTGCTGGTGGCCACCCCGGGCCGCCTGAACGACTATCTCCGTGACGACGCGCCGCGCGAGAAGCTAAGCAAAATCCGCGCCGTGGTGCTCGATGAGGCCGACCGTATGCTGGATGCCGGCTTCGCGCCCGACTTGCGGCGCATCCTGGAGCAGATTCCCCCGAAGAAAACGGCGGGCTGGCAAGGCATGTGCTTCAGCGCGACGATCCCGCCCGAGATTAAGAAGATGCTGCCGATGGTACTGAGAGATGACCACGTGCACCTGTCGACTATCGACAAGGACGAGGTGCCCACCATCGATACCGTCCCGCAGACCGTCTACCCGGTCGACAGCGTGGACGACATCCTGCCCACGCTCCACTCGGTGCTGGCCTGCGCCTGCGCCGACAACCGCGAGCTCAAGGCGGTCATCTTCAGCCCGACGGCCCGCCACGCCGCACTGCTGTACCACATTTTTGGCCACACAGGCGGGGCTGCTCCGCCGCGGCTGCCTGTTTTCCAAATGCAATCGCGTATGTCGCAGACGCAGCGCACGCGCACGGTGAAGGAATTCAAAGAGACCGAGAGCGGGCTGTTGTTTGCGTCGGACGTTGTCGGTCGCGGAATGGATTTCCCGGATATCGATTTGGTCGTGCAAGTCGGTGTCCCGAGCGAGAAGGAGCAGTATGTCCACCGCGTCGGACGCACTGGACGCGCCGGCAAGTCGGGTGAGGCCGTTATGGTGCTGGCTCCCGAGGAGATGTGGTTTATCCGCAGCAACCCGCAGTTTCCCATCAAGAACGATGGCCCCTTGTATGTCTTTTCTTTTTTCTTTTCCGCGTTCGTGGCATAGAGCCATCATCCTCACTAACATTCCCAGCACCCACCCCTCCGCAGCAAACTGGCCCTCGGCCACCAAAATCGCCAGTGCCCTCGAGAAAGTGCCAGAGGAGCCCAAGATCCAAGCCTACGTCGGCAACCTGGGCTTCATCAAATCAATGATGAAAAGGTACCGCCTCGACCCCGCGGGTGTCGTCGAATTAGGCAACCGATTCGCCACGTCGTTTGGCCTCTCTGAGATCCCTGGGCTGAACCCCATGACGATCGGGAATATGGGGTTGAAGGGTGTGCCGGGGTTGGTGGTAGCCAAACGAGACACGACCTCCGTCCCGTCGAGAAGGGGCCCAAAACCGGCGCTGACGGGTGGGGAGGAGAGGGAGTCCAGGCGTGGTGGAAGGGGTGGTGCAGGGTTCCGCTCGTCGAGCAGAGGGGCATGGGGAGACAGAGACGGGGAGAGTAACGGGTTTGGCGACGGTGGGGACCGCGGGTTCAGTCCCCGCGGTGGTGACTTCCGTGGTGGTCGTGGGAGTGGTTTCCGTGACAACAATTTCCCTGGTAATGATCGTGGACGCGGCGGACGTGGCGGACGTGGCGGCCGGGGCGGTTTCAACAGCGACAGGAACAACACCTTCGGTGGGGACCGTGGCGGCGGCCGAGGCCGTGGCGGGTTCAACAGCAATGGCCGTGGAGGCGGTGGTGGCCGTGGTCGTGGCCGTGGTGGTGGAGGCGGTTTTGGCGGCGGTCGGTCGCGGGGCTTTGAGGAGTCAGGATTTCAGGGTGAGGAACCCAGTGCGAAGAGGGGGAGGTGGGAGTGATGGTGATATCCACGCTACGGGCTATCCCATCCTCTTTTGTGTTGTATGGTGGGTTGAGCTAATATCGTCTGGGTTTGCTAGGTAATCGTGGCGACTACGGCGGCGTCGCCTCGTTTTAAGCGCTCAGTCTCAAGGGCTCAGCTTTTGTTCACGGCTGTTTGTATGACACGAGCCTGGATATGGACGGCTTGCGGCTGTCTGGATGATGACGATAATACCCGTTTTATCATGAGTGCATGGCATGGCTTGGCAACTGGCATACATAGACATACATGGGAGATCTGGGACATTTGGGACATTTGGGACGGGCGCACTTCAAATCATGGGTGTTTATTCGTACAACACTTAGATGGGAGTTGGGGGACTATGTAAAAACCTAAAAGTGTAACTGTGGGCAAGGCGCGGCATGGCTGACATGGACGGGTAGCTCGGTTGGGTTGGGTTTGGGAATTCTGTTATGTTGGGCTCTGGCCCAGTCTCGTCTGGCCTGTCATAGAGGAGGTTATTTTGATAGGCTTTCTCTCCTCATTCTACATGTTTGGCATTTTCGTCATGTAAATTACTGTAATCACTCATCATCAAGTCCCATGAGTATGCTTTCACTGATGGAGTTTGGTGAGATATCAAATATGATTATCAATTAAAAAGCTCCAACGTTCTCTCAAGCAAAGCATCAAACCTCTCGCCTATCATAGCAAGGTCAATGTCTAATTCGAGATCATACGAGCGCAACCCGATCCCGTGGAGGACCCCAGGACGGGGTAAAGGACAGATGGGAACAAAGAGCTTGGTAACTACCTCCCCCGTATCCAGGAAATCACACAGGCAACATCAACAAGATGAAGGGCTCAAGCCTGTCACAAACGGACGCATCAAGGCCATATAGATAGTTGAATCCATATAATACATGTCAGGGCAATGTGCCTTGGAACAATCCAACCAAAGAGAAAAGCCACCGGCCCAAACTCCGCAGCATCCCACCGTCCAATTCAACCACTACAACTTCAAACACAACCTTGTCCCCGTCTCAATCTGCACCCACTTCTCCGTCCCGGGAGTGGACACGGCATAAAACACCCCATTCGGATCATACTTTTGTCTCAGCTTCAGCAGTCGGGCATAGTTGTCGCCCCAAAACGCCGTCTGCCAGTTTGGTTCGTAGGGGTCGGCCTGTGTTCATTTGTCAGCACTGCCCTTACCGGTACTAATACTGATACAGATATGGGAAAACTCACCTCATTGATATAAGCACACCCATTGGGCGATGCCTTCCGCAGCGCAGCATCCACAACATTCGTCAACCGATCCTGCGCCGCCGCCTTGTCTGCCAGCGGTGCATTTCCGGACACAGGCACAATGGTGATCAGCTTGTCCACCACCTGCCGGAAGGTCGGGTGCACGGCGCTGTTGGCCCATTCGGCCTGGGGCAGACCGTGTCCGGCACTCCAGATATGCCCGATCATGAACGACCCCGCACCCAGCACCGTCTTGAAAGCCTCGATCACGGCGTCGTTGCCCCCCTCGGCGGCCACATCCTCCCGTGCAATCGTCCATCCGCCCGTCAGCGCCGAGTTACCCGCGACTTCGGTCTCGAACTGCGCCTGGTACAGGTCGTAGAAGGTCTTGAAGTTCGCGGCGCTGCTGGTGTATGGCACGCCGGCGGCGTTCAGATCGTCGAGGAACGGCTGTAGCACGGCCTGCAGTTCCGCGGGGGTCTTGCCGACGCCCACAAAGGGGTGCACATGCAGGTTTTGGCCGGCGGTGCCGAGCTCGTAGTAGACGTACAGGCCGTTGTCGACGAAGTGGGTGGTGTAGCTGTGGAAGATGCGGATGCCTTCCCAGAAAAGCGCCGGGTCGGCCGCGCCGTTGAGGTTAATGTCGAGGAGCACGCCCGCGCTGGGCTTGTCGTCGAAGGTTTTGTAGGTCGCTTCGACAATGACGCCGAATGAGGCTGGGCCGCCGCCCCGGAGGGCCCAGAAGAGGTCCGCGTTGGTGTTGGCATTGGCCGTCTTGAGCGCGCCGTCGGCTGTGATGACCTTGAACTCCAGCGCTGTGTCGGCGAGGAAACCGTACAGGCTTGTCAACGGGCCGTGGCCGCCGCCCTGGACGAGACCGCCGGCTACACCAACCGTCTGGGGCAGTCAGCATTGACTGCTCATAAATGTTTACAGACATGAGATATCAACGTACCGCACACTCGCCAGTGACCATCACCTTGGGCGGGCTCAGGGCATTCAACTTCTTGAGCGCCTGGAACGCCTGGACGCCAGCGCCGACCGTAATAGTCGACCCCTTGTAGCCTGACGGCCCGCTATACGAGTTAGAGACCTTGATGTCCTGAAAACTGTGCGTGTTAATGACGAGGGCGCCCCAGCCGACGCTGCGACCGAGGAAGTCGTGGCCCGTGTTACGGATGATCAGGCGCAGGTTGTTGTCGCGCGCAAACTTGACGCCGGCCTGGATGTGCGCTGTAGTCTTGGCCTTGATGACGAGGACCGGGTAATAACCCAGCGTGCACGTGTCGGTGGGGGTTGTCGTCGGGCGGCAGGTGTCGTTGGTGAAATACGTCCAGAGGCCGGCGGCAGGCAATTCGATTCTAGATTTCTCAGTATTTTCTCCGACTTGGACTACCTTTTCGGCCACGGGAAGCGACCCGAAAGAAACAGACAACTCACTGGAACTGCTCATCCGCAAAGTTCGCCGTCACTCGGTCACACTCGGGCTTGTTGTACGTCCTGACATCCCCCAACGGTCCCTTAAACGTGTTGTAACACGGCGCGCCAGGCGGGATATTGATGCGCAGATTCCCGTTGACCGTGTTGTTGAGCTTCTGCCATTGACCATTGTTGGGCCAGCAGGAATCCCCCGGGTAGCACTTGCACGCGTACTGGGCGCCCGCACTTCGTCGCAGCACCCATTTTGACGTCTCGTAGCCCTCGAGCTGGCCGTGCTCATGGCCCGCCGCGTTTTGGCCGAGGAGCAGCAGCAACGCGCTGCATAGCGAACTGAAGAGTCCGCCCTTCATGACTTTGAGCACTGGCTGCACGAGCGCGCAGAGGACGAGGACAACAACGACCGCGACGGCAGTGACAAAGACCGGTGACGGTGGCCGTTTTGGGGAGATCGAGATCGAGGCCGGGTCCGAAGATGGGAACCGCCGCAGATCGCGGGAAGGGTGGACTTTAAGGCCGGGAGCATGGCGGGGTGGCGCCTCGGCCGGGGGGTTCGACAACGTGGGATCGTTCGCCATCACGGTGTGGTCGTTCTCTGGGGGGTCCCGGCTGGTCTTCCAGAAGGGTTGCTAGGCCGCTGCGGTTGGTGGTCTCGCTCGCTTCCCGTTCCTGCATCGATACCACCCCAGGCCGTGGCCCGGCGCCGTCTCAGTGGGTGGCCGTGCCGAGCCATGCCCGAAAGAGCCAAGTCGATGGGGCGGCCGGAAACCGGAATTGCAGGGAGACGCCAGCAACCGGAAGAATTCCAGCGAGATTGGGCGTTTCGACGCTGCCCGGGAGAGACCCGCGTCCAAACCAAGCCGCGTACCTCGAGCTATTGACGCTTGGGTTCCCGTCTTTCCGGCCAAGAGCATTTCGCTCTGGGGAACGTGCCTCAAAGCGTAACCTTTGTTATTGTCGGTTTGTTGGATCCGAACGACCGACCCAAAAATAACCCTAAATGACACCGCCAAAAAGGTGCAAAGGAGACTGAACTGAAATGACCAAGGACGGCACTAAAATTCTCCGTCAGGCCCTTCGCCCGGATCGGCGCGGTGATCCTGGGGCTCGGCAACGACCGAGAGCCCCCAAAACAAGCCACCATGCAGAACCGCGGGGGCTGGAGGGGGAACTTCAAGGAAGCGACGACGCTAAAATCGGGGTTAATTTGTGAGCCGAAGCGCAAGAGCAACCCGCAACACCATCCCCACCCGCCGATGGAAGCTACTCCATTGAAAGCTTGCCATTGTCCGGCGCGGGGAAGGCACGGTCTAGACTTCAGGTCCAGTCGTAGGAGAAAACGGCGAAAGAAGAAATGGTTGAGAAGTTGTGCCACACCAGCAATTCCTTTCAAGCGGGTTGTCTCTGTAGCAACCACACCAATCCCGAGCGTGTGGTGCCCAATCGAAAGCACCGCATCCCAATTCCACCTCTTTTCAATCTCACCGGAATGAATCCTCTTGATAGTCTTCGATCTCATTTCGTCCCTACCTACATACCTTAGTAATTCGCACAAATTCTCCCCTGAGATATTCGGACAGATAGCGTCTCGCTTCGGTTCCGTCCCATCGGCCAGACTCATCGCCAAGCCATTCTGTCTTCCGTCCGACCTTTCCCTTCCGTCCGTCCCAACGTTCAGGCGATTTATTAATTACATATTACATGCACGCACTCGCAGCCTGTTCTCGTTATCCAGTAGCAACAAACAAGGGCCTCAACTTCTCGGTGAACTCCTCGGTACCGCATCCGGGTAGTAGTGTAGTCAATCAATTAATACCAGTATGTCCAAGTTGACCGCCAATGTCAACATCGACATGCGCTAGCACATGGCGCCCAATACATCCAACCGAGACCAGCAAGCTAAATAAAACGTCCGAGCATTTACCACATGGCTGCAGAGGCCACGAGGTCGGATGTCGGAATGGTTGCGATTGGGGAAACTAGTTTACACTAGTGTATTGGGAGCTAACGCACAACGTGACGAGCAGAGCTGCATGCAGGACTAGTGAACGAATACGAAAAGGGGCTAAAACCGCAACCAGGTAAAAGGACGGTCCTGTGCTCGCACTCGACAAACAGGTTTAGAGAGTCCATCAGAACTCTCGAAAGGCATGAACGACTAGGGTTTGTGGCATATCACGGGTCAGGCTAGGCCGGGTGACTAAGTCACGTACTAATAATTAGAACTTACTCACTCTTAGTACAGTTTCTATCTGTCAACCCAAGTGATACGAAGGTCAACAACCCAATGGTATTGGCACTCACTTTGTATTATACACTTCCCACATTTATTTGCGTTGGAGACGTTCTAGGCTCAAGATTGACACCCACTGGATTCAGTTGTATGGCTTTGGACCGAATTATGATATTAATGAATTGTGCGAACCTGCGCACTGTTCTACCTATCTACACCACTTTATACACTCCTAAAGCATACCGTCGGCCTGCCTCTCAATCTCCCTTCTCGCCTCCTCCCGGGTCATCCTCTGATACCCCCTCAACTCCGCCTCTGTCGCCCCCCTATCAACAAACCGTCCCAACAGCGCCAACCACGCGCGCGCCGTCATACTCCCCGGCCGCTCGCACAACGTGGTGACCACATCCCACCACACCCGGCCATGATCTGCAAACGGAATCCGCCTCCGACACGCCTCCGACAGCACCCACTTCCACTCGTCATCCACCTCCTCATCCACCCCATACGTAATCCGCGCAAACTGGAACCACTTCGGCCAGTAACCCGCACTCTCCCAATCGATAATCCCCGTAACCTGTATCCCATCCGGATACTCCGCGTCCCCCTCCTCCCCAGTATCAACCATCACATTCCCATGATACAAATCACAATGCGTCAGCGCCAGTTCCGTCTCAACAGGCGGCATCGTCCGTCTCACCTCCCTCACCACCCTCTCCTCCACGCCCATCCCCCTCAATCGCGGCAAAAACTCCCCCCGCCACACCTCCTCATCTGTCCGCCACCGACCCCCCAAACAGTCCCCGCTCACCTCCCGCCCGCGTCCTTCGTCCGCGTTGAGAATCACCATGTATGGCGGTACAAACCCGTTACCCGGTAGCCGTCGACCGCAAACACTCTCCATTTTCTCACCGGGGAAGGCCCGTGCCAGGCGTGACATCCACGAACTAACCTCTTCCGCGACGGCTACCTTCTGCCGCATGGTGAGACGTGGCCAGGCGGCGCCCAGGGTAGTCCCGGGGACTTGCTCCTCGAGGAGGTAATGATGCTTTTTATCGCGGGAGGTCCATTCGGCAAAGACGCGCGGGGACGGAAAATGGGCGAGTTTGAGGGAAGGATGGGCAGTGGTGGTGAGGTTGGTGAGGAAGTGGTGGGTGGCTGCTTCGGTGGCGGAGTTGGTCGGGGAGAAGGCGGTGCGTTTGAGGATTGTGGTCGGGAGGGTGTTGTTGTTGTTGTCTTGGGGGGTGGGGGTATAGGGAGGGGGGAGGATGTCGTTGTCTTTCCCGGTGGGGTTATAAGGAGGGGGAAGGGACCAGACGATACGGTCGGCGCCGTGGGCGTAGATTTGGGTGGCGGAGGTGAGGGAGAGGTTGAGGTTGAGGGAGTCTGGGGGGGCGTCGGGGAGGGACGTGGTGTTTTGTTGGAGCGACATGGTGTTTTGTTTGGAGGTGTTGATTGTGTTGGGAGGGTGTTTAAGGGGTGTGGTGTTTGAGGGGGGTTGTTAGGGGGATTGTTAAGGGGGATTGTTAAGGGGGAGCGAGGGTTAGGGTTGAATATGTTTACCGTATTGGTGTCCTTCCCCTTCTTGTTTTCCTCCGTTTTTTTCCTTTTATGTTCTTTTTGGTAGTGATCGTTCCGTTTATTTCTTTCCCTATTGTTTCCGTAATTAAATTGCCACGAGAGCAGCTGGCCACTTGCGATTGGAACTGCAGGTCCCGCGCTCTATTAAATACTCCTTGCTACTCAAATACAAAACAATACCATCACATGAATACCCATTGTGTTCCTCTCCTTGGACTTTCCACCCCTCTTGTCCGGGTCTTGTACAACTCCACTAACGGTCTAACAAAGCTGTCAGGTTGAACAGCACGTGTAACCGGCTAACCGGCAGGACAAGTAATTAGTGCAAACGCACTATCATGAAGTCCGGGACTGTTCCCCCTTTGCATGCTGTGTGCTGCATTTTGGCTGCAGTGTCCGAGGTGAGATGAGCTCGTCTGAGATGAGTTCATCCAGGAAGCAGCCGGAAGGGCTACGTTGCGCCCAAGAGAAGGCGGCAAAGTTGGGTATGGCCTCTGTTGTCTGTTCTGGTGCACTTCGGGTGGTGTGTGTGGTGGGTGTGGAGGGTATATGGGCGAGGTAGAGATGGATGGCGCGTCTGCGGAGCGGGAGGATGGTTTCCATTGCGTTTGTTGCTGGAATTGAAGAGTTTGGTGGTTTTCTAAGTCCCAGTGTGGAGGGTTGACACTGTTGAGCAAGCGAAGCTGAACACAAGACGGAATTGTCCCGACGTGCTGATCTCGTATCCAGATCTTTGCTTTAAACAGTCTGTTTATTGAACAGCCGATGAATTCTAAATGCAAACCACCCGCTTTGTCTGCCTCATCTGTTTTACCGCAACCCCGGGCCCTTTGTCCTGGGGCTCTTGGCTACCTACCCTGTCTTTGTTCCCAACCTTTTGCACCACTCAACTGCACAACCGCCTCTATCCAGTCCGCGCCAACTCGCTTACCCCCTGTTGGCTCCGCCGTCACACATTCAAGTACAGCCCTTCTTGTCAGATCTTCAAGAAGTCGTCCGGGTTCACCACCTCGGAATAGTCGCAGCCCACCAGCGTATCGTCACGGAAGGCCTGGACACTAAACACGATACATCCTGGAGAGGTTCCCGGGAGGGAATCTTTGTGCGTAAGCCCCATCGTATACGTCCCGTCGAGCGTTGGGCATGCTAGGTAACCCATGTTCAAAAACTCCACCGACTTGCTTTCCCAGTCGACGGTCCAGTCGCGGGTCAAGCCAGTCTCGCCCGGCCAGTTCCGGGTCTCGTCGAAGTACTCCAGGTTGTCCCGGTCTAATTGATTAATAACATGTTGGTCAGTAGGTAGGTAGGTAATTAATTACATCTCCGTTTGTTAGAGCAGTAAACGTACCTTCTCTGTTCAAGTGGACGCCCAACTTTTGGTGTGAGTGACCCTCGCCGCCGTACAGAAACAGCGCGCAGTCGTTGATAAACAGTGTGGCTGTCTCATGTGTCGGTGCGTTCGGGCCGCAACGGGCTCCTGCCTGCCCGGGGGCAGCGACAACCACAGCCTATTGTCGCGAGCCTGGATGGGCTTCCCGCTCTTCGCAAAGAGGGTGAATGTGTCGCTTGTGGCGCTCGCAGCGCTCGCAATTATTCTTGGGGGCCAGGACTGCGGCCGACACAGACGCGACGGCGCCGGCGAGGAGTGTGAGGGCGGTCAGCTGCATGGTCGCGGTTTGGGAGCTTGAGGTGGCGGTTGGGGTTTGGTTGGGGAGTTTGGAGAGTGTCTGTTGATGTTGAGGTTGATAAGTACCTCGGGGTGGTCTTTTATCTCCATCTTTTTGCCCGGCCAGCCCTCGCGTCCCGCTTCCCGCTTGCCACCTCCCGGGGGCTGATGGCTCTTCACTCTGGAGATTTAATTCTCCGGGCGGTGAGACAACTTAGACACTTCGCCCGGGGTTAGCGGCCTGACGTGGATTGTGATCTTTGGCCCGATCAGCACATAGAAACCTTATTTCAGCCGAGAACCTGCTCGGGCCGAGCTGAAAGCTGGGGTATGTGGTCACCGGGCAGGAGCTGAGTCCCGGGGTTGATGGATCACGAGCATCTTGTTGTGAACCTTTTGGGGTTATTGAGTTAGAATCCTGGGTAATACCCATGGCGAACGCTTTCCGAGTGTGGTTGAGAGATGAGTCGTCACATTTGTCATGAACACTCATGTCAATGGCCGGCCCTCTGACAGCCACATCCGTCAACTCCGTTGACTTTGAAGACAACAACCGGGTTACCAAGAAGCTCTTCCAGTGGTATTTTGGAAGCGATGTTATACTAATTGGTATGGCAATTAATTCTGCAGCCATGGAGGTGCAACACGGCTATGGAACCGTGTCAGGTGCATAGGAGGGCACAACCTGTTACAATGAGATGTGTACCGCGAGAGTGACGCAAGCCCGGTGTTGGAAGGGCCGAGAAGAAAGTGGAAACTCGGTGAACTTGGGTCACAGGAAACCAGATACAAAGTTAATTGTGAATGTAACTAACTACCCCCTATCTGTGATCCTAATACCAACTGCCAGATGTTAAAATCCGTTTGCGCTTTCCAACCCTAAACCCCTACCAACCAACTCTCTCCGGAAGTCGACCTTTACCCCCGTTGCCCGTCCACCATACCTCTAATCAGAGCCCTTCACTGCCAGGTCGTTAAATCGTCAGGCCGTGCTCGTTGACCGTCTCTCGCTGTACGTGCAGGCCGCTGGGTCGGATTTGGAGGTGGCCTGGATGTGAATCTCGAAGCAGTCTTCGTACACGTCCAGGTTGGAGCTTCTGAGCAATACGTCCAGTGAATACGCATCGATGGACTCCGGACGGGCCAGGAATGCCCTGTCGCTGAACGACAGCGCCCGAATATCAGGGTAGATGGTAGATAGACCAACCCGCGAGTTGTTCCGCGTCGCTGGCTGTAGAGTTGACGTTATGGAAGTACCGTAGGTTGTCATTGTCTATGTTGTCATTAGTACATCACCGTTTATATTTTCCGGTTTAGGGTCACGCTTGCGTGGCGATCTCAGAGTTGGTACACGTAGTTCCAGCCCTGGCAGACCTATGTGGGTTGTTTGACACCGGTGGCTTGGTTCTCCCGACTGGTCTAAATAGACTGTAATTTCCAAATACACCAAGACACAACTAGCTCGATCCTAACGAAACATTGGGCGGCTCATCGGCGATTTCAACTGAGACCTGCCCAGGCCAAGTTGAAAGCTGGCGGTGTAGTGCAGTTCGAGTGAATGGTCGCAGCTGGGCCTCGGGGGCTCGTCGGGTGCACCCCGTGGAGCGTGACATCACAAACAAACTTAGACATTCACAGACACGAGCCCTCTCGGCTCTCTCAAGCCGCTAATTAAGGTTAGGTAGGTAGGTAATTTTGCTGGTGCCGAGATTTGTCTGCCGCTTCTTCCCAGTCCGTCCACCTCAATCGGTAAGTGTGTCGCAAAAAGACAGGTACTTCTTGCTGCAGCAAATGACGACCCTTGTGTCCTAGGATACCGTAGCATTAGTTAGGCCAAGTAAACAGAGAAATCGCCCCATACTCGCACACATAACGAATTAAGACCTCACACCGTCTGCCGCGGCACTTTGCGGATGGACCGTTTAAATGGACCGTTTAGTTGGTGCTGAAGACTGGTCGGCAGCCGAGGGTTGTACCGGGGCGTCTTGGTTGTCGGAGGCGGAGAAGATGCAATGAAGGGTCCAGGTTTGGCATGGTGATGGGGAATTATTGAGTTGATTATTTAGTCGGGGGTTGTGAGAGGAGCGGGAGATGCAGTTTGGATGGGTTGAATTGCATTGGATGATGGCGAACTCGGATGGTTAATTACTGTATCGAGTGTTGGTGGTGTACTGGGGCATGATTCTGATAATCAATTAGGTCAGGTAAGTACTCTTTGCTCGGCGAGTTGGCTTGGTTTCTTTCCTTTAAACTTGGGATCGGACTCTGGTTCGCTTCCAGCATTGGGACAAGATCTAGGTTTGCAAAGTTGGGATGGGAATCTTAAGAACCTTTCGTGGGAAGTGGAGGACAAGGGATGGCTTGTAGCCTTGTCCGTACCGCGGCGCGTTTCGGCAATGGATTAGGCAGTGCAAATCCTCAAACCGCCAAAAAGATCCGATTGGGTGTTGCGTCTCAAACCATTGGAGCCTGCAAACTGGCTGCATCAATCCGGCCGATTTGCAGGCAGCAGTCCCGGGTTATGGATTTGCGCAGTGCCAGTCACACGATCACTTATTATTGATGCAGTTATACTCGCCAACGAATTGCCTACAGGTGAATATTAGGTAGATAGGTGAACCAAATGTACCTACCTAGGTAGGTAATTACTAATTCCGCAACTTGAAGGCTGCAACCAGGATTAGCATCGACTTTATTAACCAGTACACGAAACAACAAACCGAGGCTCGGACTTCGGGTCTCCATTGTGCAAACCAAACTTGGAGCTCAAACCTACCTCTGCCTACCTAGGTACCTTAGGTAGGTTATCTCAAGCTAGAAGCCGGCCAGCATAGGCACTCGGGCATCGCACTCAGAGCATCATTCCCACAAAGGAGGAGGGGTACCCACTACCTCTGGTACGGCGACCTCTTAGTGGACGACCGCTCCGAATCATAGGGACCATGGAAGAAGGTTATGGAACTCATTGTCCTCGTTGATCCTTGCCCGGCCTTCCCTAGCATGTGGCCCCGAGGCCCACACTAAATCTTGGACCCAGGACAGGTAGGACAGGCTTCAACGGGGCATCCCGTCCTCTGTTTCAACCTCTGGTCGTCCGGAGACTTCGGTGGTGAGGTTTGAAACTAGAGATTGTGGGTTCTACGTCATGTGGCACTGAAATTCTCCGTGGAGCCGTTTCGGCCTCATGTCTGGTGTACGCTGCCGGCAGGGGATGGCGGCCGGAGCCCGGGACTACTGGGTTTGGAGACGGGGGGCCTGTACCGAGCAGCCGTTGGGAGGGGCCAGGTTGGAGATATATGCTCCCGACAGCTACTTAGGCCAAGATGGAACGGGTATAAAGACGGTAAACACTGCAGTTGAGGACGATCAGAACAGTATCATAACAAGTCAACTTAACTCATTACAACAACCACAACCACAGCCAAACCCGAATACATCTCAATCACCCATCCACCTTCACCAACTAACTAACAACGTACGACCCTCCCGCCCTCTCAACAACGTAATAACCACCAACCCACCCGCTAACCTCCTCACTCACAGGCCCCCCAAAACCTTCACCATGTGTTTCTGGCGCCACCAAGTGTACGCTTGCACCCACGCTGCCCCGGACAAGTTCTCGAGCCCCTGCGGCAAGTACCCTACCTGCAGCACGAAGACGTTCCAGGCCGGCACCTTCACCCTGCGCACTCGGTGCCCGGCTTGTATATACGACTAGGCCGTCTTCCTCGGAGGAGTGAGTTAATTGGTGCACCCAGCGACTCGGGGCTTGATGCCTTGAATGGGTGAGAGAAAGATACTGGGTGGTAGATGGTGTAATTACTACAATGCAGACAAACCGTAGTGGTTAGGCCTGGGCCCAGACTACCTGATGCAATACACTCTTTATTCACCTACTTTTGCAGTCGGTGGCTTGTTTTTAGCTGAGAGAGAAGTACAATGTCCCCAACGAATCAACGGCCTACCTACCTTAGGCACTTAGGTAGGTACCTACCCTTTGTCCGCCCACTGCCTTCGTTCCCAAACCACCCTGTTCACCACCTCGTCTCAACACCCGACTCATTATCGCCCGCCTGCATTCTTTCATCTCTTGTTCCAAAAATACGCCTCAAAAAATCCGAGAGCCTAATTCTCGGCTCTTAATTCACAGCTTCGCTGTACCGGCAGGACACCGGCTCAGGGACGGGGACACTTTGGGCAATAAAGCCTGGGCTGCAGACTACTGTTTCCACCACACCATACTCGCACTGCGACCCGCAGCGGACCCGGGAGTCGGAGTCGGAACCGTCCCGCTCCGCTGGGTCGGGTCGGAGATCATGCCAGCGGAGCCTGTCTCGGAAAAGGGTCGACTCGGCGCTGCTCCCCAAGGCCAATAGCCTAGATTTATTGACAAGTCCCATCGCCAGGGCCATTGCCCAGGAATGGCCACAGGCCTGAAAGCTTGATAGTCACCTCCAATAGCTGAATCTCTGGGTTAACTGATCACAAGTAAGGTGGTATCTTTGCCAAGTTTGGTCGAGAGACGATTCGTAACATCGGGTTATGAACTTCCCGATCGATGGCCGACCCTATAACAACTTCATACCCACTGCTACAAACTCCTTTAAATTTGGGGGAAACGATCTAGTTCCGAAGGAGATCCTCCACTATATTTTGGAAGCGACATCATGTCAATTAATTAGTAAACTACCTATATAGCCATCGAGCCACAGCATGGCCATAGGACCGTACGAGGTGCGAAGGAGGGTATAACCCGTCACAATAGGATATATATCGTTAGAAGTAACGTAAGCCCAGTGTCAGAATATGGTTGGATCAACATGTTCGTGGTTCCAGGGGCCGAGAGGCGGGAACTAGATACCTTATATTCAGGTCGCAGTGAGCCAGAGGCGAAGTTGATTACACACTTAAATGCTCCCTATCCGTGGTACCAACATGCCCTACGCCACCCAACACGCTCTTTACCGAAACCGACCCCTACACCCCTACCCCCGTTACCAGTCAACCAGACCACCAAAGCCCTTCCCCGTCAAGGTCGTCAGGCCGTCCTCCTCGACCTACTCCTCCTCGGTGTACCTGCAGGCCACTGGATTGTCCTTGAGGGTGGGCAGGATGTTAATTTCGAAGCAGTCGGTGTGTACTTCCAGGTTAGCGCTACGGAGCAATATGTCGACCGTATACGCACCGTTGGACTCCTCAGGACCAGGACAGGCCAGGAAGTTACTTCCACTGAAGAACAGCAACTTAGCGTCAGGGTCTATAGACCAACCTGAAAGTACTTCCGCGTTACTGGATGTATAGTTGAGGTTATCGATGTACACCAGGTTGCCCTTGTCTATACAGTCATTAGCACTTTCTTGTTTATTTTCTCCCTCTTCGGCCCGATAGAAAGTAATGGCAACCCCCCTTCCGCCCTTCCGCCGCCTAAAAAAAACACAGAGAAGGAGGGAAAGAGAGAGGCGAGCGATGGAAAACAGCATATCATTTCTTAGCTGGACGTTGACAGCAAACTGTTCATGGGATCCACCCTGGCCACCATATAGAAATAGCTCCTCGGGCCCCTCTTGGAGAAACACAATGGCCGCACCGTCTTGCAACACCTCCTGTCCGCAGTTTGCATCCTGCAAGTCCTGGGGAAGCGATACCCACAGCTGCGTTCCGCTCGCGCTAATGACCCCTCCGTAGATGACCTGGTTTTCACTTTGTGCAGTGAGGGTGTATGTGGTGCTCGCGTCCTTGGGGGTTAGGACTGCGGCGGACACGGAACCCGTGGCGGCGGCAAGGAGGGTGAGAGCGGTCAGCTGCATGGTGGCGGTTTCACGGCGGGGGGGGGGGTGAGAAGCTTGAGTCGGTGTTTTTAGATGTAGTGAGATGTTGTTGATGTTGAGGTCGGTAGGTTACCCTTTCTCCGGAAACTCGAGGTTGCTGAGTTGCTGAGGATCTTCTTTTAATTATCGTTAAAAGTTCTCTGTCTAGCCGTCCTCCCCCCTTTTTTTGGGACCTGAATCACTCTCACAAGTTGAAAAGAAGGTTTATGACGATCACACCTGCGTGGCTGTCTCAGAGATGGTACACGTAGCTGGACCAGTTACCGTTGTAGGTTGTTGACCGGTGGCTTGATTCACCCGACCTGTCTAAATAGACTGTGTGGCTTCCAAACACGGCAACGGGCAAGTGGATCGTTACCACAACCGCTCTTGCCGTCAAACTCCCCACCACCTTACTGACCGTCGAGCTCGGAAGGTTAATCCGGTGGTAATTATCGACTGTTGTTGGTTTGCTACTGCATGATTCTGATACTATCGGCTCGGCCCGATTTCTTTCCTTGGGGGTTTGCGTCGGGTTAACGTTGGTGATGTCAATGATTACTCGTTGTGGACTTGTGGTCAACGGATCGATCTGAGGCAGTGCCAAGCCCACATGATTGCATCGAGGATTTGAAACATTGAGTTACCAAGTCGAAGAAAAATCCCATGAAACCTTGTCCCAGCCCGGAGAATAAACTCCAAGGTTTGTTTTCAGAGTTAGGACTCCAGTTCACCGGTTGGGATGGGAATCCTACGAACCTTAAGTGGAGGTCAGCGGATACGAAGGTCAAGGATGGCTTGTTGCGGACTGCATTCTGCTGCGTCTTGACAACGGGTCATGAACTGGGCAGTGCAAATCCTCAAATCCGCCAATCCTCAAACCGCCACAACATCCTCTGAGACCCAATCGGGAACACCGTCTGGTGGACATTTGGAGTCTGGAAACCGGCTGCATCAATTCAACACTTCGGCATATGCGGCCAACTTGCAGTTCTGGGCCGATAGGATGTCTGGCCTGGACAAGCAATACGAGCACAACTTACTGGTACAGTTAGGTAGGTATTCTTGGTCGACTGGTTAATGAAATGGCATTGATTCTATAAGTTGAAATCGCAACAAATGATCGGGTTGGCTTCATCAGTAAGGTATTGACCAAATGGAACAGCAAATTGGGGCTCGTACGACTCTCAATTTGCAAACTAGAGCTCAAAATAAAGTTCTGTCAAACCAGACGTCGCCGGCCAGCATCGGGACCATGCCCTTCCGCCCATAGGATCATTCCCACAAAGCCACGAGCCGACACAACTGTGCCTCGGCGTCGCTCTTGGGCCTGAGGAGTAGTGCCCACTACGGTACAGCCAGCCCCTGGTGGACGATCGCTCCCAATCATAGTGTACCTAGTGACGATAGAATGTGGGACTCGCTATACTCACTGCAGAGTAGGGGCTAGTCGTCGACTCCTGCCCGGCTTTCCCTATCAGTGGGGTTGTTCGCGGCCCACAACGAAGCGTGGAGCCGGGACAGGATTCAACGGGCCCCTCATTCTCTGTTTCAACCTCTGGTGGTCCGGAGACTGTGCCAGGTCTGAGACTGAAGATTGTGGGCTGTTTGTGGTATAGGCCTGAGGCTCATCGTGGGATCCGCTGCGGCATCATGTCTGCACTGCAACGAAGGATGACGGCCGAGGCGTGTTTGAGGATGGAGAGGCCGTTACGAGAAGCCGTTGGGAGTTGGCGAGGTGGGAGATGGATGATTCGGAAAGCTCTTTACGTCGAGGGGGAAAGGAGTATAAAGGCGGTGAACTCTACCGTGGCTAAGAGCGATTCAGAACAGCATCACAACATCTTAGCTCGACTCATTAAAACAACTATAACACAACAAACTGAACACACCTCAACCACCCATCCACCCTGACCAAGAACCAATCAACCAACAACGTACACCTCCCCACCCTATCAACACACACCACCCACCTACCACTAAGCTCCTTACAGCCCCCAAACCGTCACCATGTGTTTCTGGCGCCATCAACGCTACGCTTGCACCCACCCCGCTCCCGACAAGTTTGCGAGCCCCTGCGAAAAGTACCCTACCTGCAACGTGAAGAGGTTCCAGCAGGGCATCTTCAACCTCCGGACTCGGTGCCCGGCTTGTATATACGACTAGATGGGGACTGCTCAGAGACATGGGTTGAAAACTCGGGGCTTGATGTTTCGGGTGGAGAGCGAGGCGTGATGTGTTGAGAGAGAGAGAGAGAGATGCTAGGTGCTGGATGGTTTAGTTGCTGCCATGTAGACCGTAGCGGCTAGGGCTGGACCCGGACTATCCTGCCGCAATACATTCTTTGTCCTCCTATTTTCGTCGTTGGTGGTTTAATTTACCCTGGGAGAGAAGTGCAGTGTTTCCGGCTTAACCCTTCTTTCGCTTGAAGAATACAGGACTAAGATCATGATGGTGTTATCTCGTCTGAAATTCTGCAACGTTGGGCCGTACGATGCCAGAAGCGAATCATATTGAGTCGAATCTTCCAATACTTTCCTCATTCTGGATCATTCTCGATCAAATTTGTAACTCATGCGACTGAGATCAAAAATGTTAGATTCTAGAAGGCATGAACCCCATCACATCGCTAGGCACCTTAGAGTAGTAATTAATACTCGAACGGCGCCCAAATTCCACACCTTACGTTTTTGAAGTTCAGATGGGAAACACAAGGACACGAAAAGCGGGGGTAATTACAACTGACGCATATCACCGTCGCAATCCGACCGACAGACTGGTTTATTATTACACCGTTGCCGCCGCGATTTCGGACGAAGGAAGCTTACCTAGACGCTTGCAGGTCATAACTCGGATGTATTAGGACGACTGAGACGGATACGATGGCCGATGGGGTAAGCCGAAACATGAGACTGAGCCGAGCTCCGTCGTAATTAAACTTTTATCATATTGCACAGAACAAACCTTGAGGCGCCCACAAACCCCGGGACCCCCGATATACCGAGGCCATCCTATTTCTGAAATGATTCATGACAGGCCAAATCCAGCGGCCAGCCGGTAATGATCTTGGGCTGAAAAATGTACCTGAGTTAAACCTCTGGATACCCCTCGTTTCACCAATCGTACTTACAAACCTCGACCCGGGAATAATAGGTCTAGTTTAAGTTGTTTTCCACTGCCAAAGCCGATCTGTATCGGCGTTTAACCAACAGCATCTGATAGGACCCTTTCTGACGAGGCGAGTCCCACATTGGCTTGCAAGCCGTTTTTAGATGAAGAACTCGGACAGGATCAGGTCGGCCACGTGTCTGTAATTAGAAGCGGATGCCCAGTTGAGACAAATCTGAGGCCGGCAAGGCCGAGGAACTTCTGGATTGGGAGGGATTTGGGCACAGATGCCTTCTTTGGCTCTCTAGGTTGAGGAGAAATCAAGAGTTTAAATGATCTTAGAACGTCGCGAATTAATTAAGGTACTATCAAAGGGATTGAACACAACGACATCCAAATAACATTCATTATCTCCAACATCCCCCCAAGTCTATTTTCATCATCACCTCATCTCATCCTCCAAAACAAGCTAACCTCACCCCCGAAGATCCCCAACTTGTCCCCCTCGGGTAATTAATCGCCCCCCACCACCCAACAACCAACCCGCCTCACAGCCTCCTACAAACTGAAAACTAAAGGATGTGCTACTACCGCAAAACGAAACACGAATGCCTCCACTCCGGCCAGCCAAAATGCGTCAAAACCTGCAAGGACCACCCGAACTGCGGCAAGCGCAAGATGCTGGAGGATGACGCCATCCGGCTCTCGGGAGACTGCCGGAATTGTAGGAACACAAGGCAACATTTGGAATTTTTCGCGCAGGGTGCCAGGTAATAAAGCGTTGGAATCGACTACGTGGTCTTGTTTGGGGGCTGTAGGGGAAAGTGGTGGAATGGTCTTTGGAGGCGTGATTTGGGATTTGTTGCAGGGAAGGTAGAAAAAGTAGTAAAGGTGTGCTGGACACTCCAAAACTGACTGACAACGTAACATGTTGAACACCGCAAGATACATCCAAATACGTGAAATACCCACCCCCCAAAAACGAACACCGCAAATCCCTAGTAAATATACCGAAACCGCGGACTCTCATCCCCCAACTCGTCAATTTCCTCGTCCGTCATGCCCACCACCCGGTAGTCCTCCTTTCCTTCATCCCGCCGCTTGTTCAGGTGCCGGAAGTAGCCCCAGAAGAAAAGGTAGATAAGCGCGGCCATCAGCATCAGGCTCATCGACACGGCATGTCCGGCCACAAACCTGGGGGCGTCGACGGAGCGGAAGAGCTAGGCATGTTAGTACTGACGACCTCCGTGTAAGGTAGAAAGAGAGAGAGAGAGAGAAGGGGGAACGTACAAAAGGCGATGGAATCCCCGCCGTATTCCCAATCGTCAACTGCAAGCCCGTAGCAGTCGCCCGTTTCCCATACCGCGGATTGTTACTCGGCAACCACGCCAGCGGAATACCCACCACCACATACAACCCGGTGGCAATCAAAAAGCACGCAAAATACTTGACCCCACCAGGCGCATTGCTCACCAAAATCGCATACCCCACCGTAGCAATCAACCCAAACACCACGGGAAACACGGCGCGCATCTGCGTGCGGTCGGACAGATAAGCCACGGCTAAATAGCTGATGGCGCCCATGGCGTAGCACGGGATGGTGAGCGCCTGGACCTGTTCGGTAGTCCAGTTATCGCCCAGCTGGCCGATGATAGTCGGTAAGAAAGTCGAAAACCCGTACAGGATCATGTCGCCACCGAACTGACCGATGGAAAACACCCAGATCTTCCAATCCTTCAAACCCGCAATCACATCCTTCTTGTGCATCATGTCCGATGACTTGGTGTGCCCAATCTGCCGGCGCATGCGCAGGTCCATGAGCGCGCGTTCCTCAGCCGAGAGATAGAACGCGGTGTCCGGGGTGTCTGCAAACCAGAAGTAGACGGCCACACCCAGAATCGCGGTCGGGATCCCCTCTAGGATGATGATCCACCGCCATCCGCGCAAGCCCGCGACGCCGTCCATGAACCCAATGCCATACGCCAACAGCCCACCCAGCGACCCGGCAATGGCTGCAGACACGAAGAGATACCCGATGCGCAGGGCAAGTTCGCGCTTGGTGTAGAACATGGTCAGGTACAGCGTCAGGCCAGGGAACATACCGCCTTCGAGGGCGCCGAGGATCACGCGGCAGGCGATGAGCGACGGGTAGTTGTGGACGATACCCGTCAGCGTGGCTACGATGCCCCAGCCGGTGGTGATGAAGGCCAGCCAGCGGGATGGGGTGAAGCGTTTGATGACCAGGTTGGAGGGCAGCTCGGACAAGATGTAGGTGACGAAGAGGACGGAAACGGCGGTCTGGTATTGGTCGCCGGTTAGACCGAGGTCTTTTTCCATGCCGTAGAGGCGCGCGTTGCCGATGTTGACGCGGTCGAGGAAGCTGAGCAGGTACATGAGCATGACGGGGGGGATGATCCAGCGGTCAAGTTTGCGGACTAGCTGGCGCTCGGCGGCCTCATCGATGACGATGTCGCTGCGCAGGTCGCCGGGAGTGTCATTTTGTTTCTCAGGGTCGTGGTGTTGTTTTTCAGTGTCTTGTTTCTCGGCGTCCGAAGGGACAGGGTGAGACGAGAGCGTGTCCATGTCGAGGCTGGCCGATTGGGACATCTCTCAAAGAAGATTGATGAGAGATGATGGGATGGATGAGATGGGACGAGGTTGCGATGAGACGTGATAAACGCGGGAACCGAAAGTTTTAAGCAAACCGAGTGGATCTCCCCCAAACCGACCCCAGAATCAGACCAGAACCACTTATCGCTGGCGTATCACGTCCCCGAATCCGGGCCGGTATCTCAACAGTCGGGCAATGGGAAAGAAGCAGGCGGGAAGCCCCACTTTGCCGAGCTGATTTGTGCAAAAGTCCGGGGAAACAGGGATAACCATGCGCAAACCGAGACGATACCTGATTCGGTCGGTATCGCCCCTGGACCCACCAACTGGCTCGCAAGATTCCCGGCAATTGTGTGAAAACCCGAGGCACTCTTCACCTCTGATTCGCCGCCCCGGTCTGCCTATCACCGGCTTTTTGCAAGTTGCCGTGCTGTATCTCATCGGCGGGCTTTAAGGTTCCTCTGCGTAACCACACGAGACGAGTAATGCGAGTGTAAAATGTTGGGCGGGGATGAAGAAACAGGGAATGATATCGCTCCGGAAACGCCGTTGATCGAGGGCGATTCACAGGAGTTATTGAAATGTGCTCTATAGGGCAGCAAGGGCGGTGGTACCTTCAAAAAAGAAGGGGGACATCGCCCCAGGCTGACGCAAAACGTTTTCCACCTTCTCAAGAGGCCAAGGGCCCTGAGGCCTGGGCTCCGAGAGGGGAATCGAAGCCTTGAAGGAGCCCCGGATCCAAGGTGCCGTGTAACACGTTTCAATGTGTTGGAGAAATAGCTTGGTTAAATTTTAGCAGCGAAGGCCAGCGATGATTGTAGAGATGAAGATGTTGACGGGTCAGTGAAAATTAAGTATAGGAGCTCTGGGTACTATTAGGAAGGCAAGGTGTCTTTAGGTTGATAGCTACAGTAACTCGAATACACAAGCTGAACGGTCAGACCTTTGCCCATTTCTATTCAGCAACCACGCTATCACAATTCTGCCAGTCGCAAACCGGTAATTAGAACCTGATATGATTTTACAATGAGACATAATCTCCACAAGATGATACTGTGTTGTGAGCACGGTATAATCTGAATCATATTCCAGATTTATTGTCACGCAGATCATAGAAATGAACGGTGGTGCCATGGTAGAATTCTATTCCACACTAGGTGCTATTAATGGGCAGAAAATGCCATAGCGTAGGACTTTCCAATGGTCATGTCAAATTATCGTAACCTGATCCCTGATTCCCGAACTACAACCTCCGAATTCTGAGCGAACTAATTACTCCTACTTTTATGAGATTTGCTTGATGATCGAGGCAAAGTCGACAAACGGCCAAACATGACTAAATTGTCCATCCGCTAGGCGGTAGAGCGTGAGCTCTGTCGTGGCGATGTGCCGACCAGTTGCCTCGATTCCCTGGAACGTTCCTTGATGCGTACCCGTAATGTTGAAATGCACGGCCATGTATTCGCCGTCAATGATGAAACGGCGAATTTCCCACCGCCAGTCTGGGAATGCCTCGAAGATTGATTTGATCTGGTCCGTAACCTGCGAAGGGGCCCCGGGCACATCGTTGATGCTGATAGGTGAGGTGTAAAATCCGAGGATGCCCTCGTAATTCTGCTGATTGCAGTAATCGATGTAGGACTGGTAGTGGGCCTTGAGTTGAGCGTTTTCGGTTGCCGAAGTGGAGGCTTGCTGGTTGGCCATTGTGAATGTGAGAACTGGTCGAGAAAGTGACAAAGTTGGAGGTGGACAATAGGGAGGTTTTATTTTCAGTGTTGGGATAGATTTATCTGTTGGAGATGAATAGAAACTACAGGGAGGAGATATGTATCTTGTGAATACCTACCAAAGCCATCGATTTCCTAAGCAGAATTGACGATTGCTAAGCCGAGTAGCCCCCGAGCCCAAAATGACAAATCGATCCCAAAATCCAGCTATCCTCCCGGCGCTTCATGGGTACGATGTTTCTTGATTGTTCTGGTTACCTGTAGTGTAGTGTTGAGGCCAAGCTGCAAGATAATTGCCGAGTTAGGCTATAAGCAAGAGGATCCACGACCCGCGCGGCACCACAGCCCGCGCGGCTTCCCAATATTAACAACGCCAAGAGAGCGGCTTATTCAGCCCACCTTTGAGTCTCCACAAGCCGCACGGTATATAATCGTTGGGAGTCCTGTGAATCGATGCATTCGCGTTACACGTTGCGATGCATCTTGGTTTGGTAAGCGTACATAGGTAGTACATGTACAAATACACGTGTACATGGTAAGCATGGGATGCACCGTCCAGGCGCAACCAACTATGCCCTTGATTCGCCTGCTCCTGCCTATCACCGGCATTTCGCAAGTTGCCGTTCTTATCGCCCAGATTACCGAGCCTTGCCCACAAGATAGACGACTAGCTAACCTTCGCGTGCCGACGTCAGCCCGAAAGAAAGCGACCCGGACCAAGCGGAAGAAAGCGAAAACTACATGGCAAATAGAAACTGCTCCTCAATCTCCGAGGCAAACTCCCGTAGCGTGCCGTCCTCGGCAAGCAACGCGTCCGGCCACGGCGGCGGGGCGCGGATTTCGTCGAGAAATGTGCCGATCAGCGGGTTACCGAGGATGTCGACGTCTCCGTAGACGCCCCCTGCCGTAGTCCCATTTCCATTTCCGGCTCCTCCTCCCATCCCATTATTAGTAGTAGTAGCCAACGGCATGGCCATCGTGTTTTGCATTCCCACCGGCTGCTGCTGCATTGCTATTACCGCAGACCCATCCTGCACAGGCGCGGGTGATGGCGCTCGAGACAACTGAATCTCCCTCTGTGGCCTGAGGGTCGCGACACGCGCCTGGATATGCGCCAACCTCTCGCAGAAATCGACTGCAGGGATGTTCCCGTCGTGTTTCATCGACCTTAAGATACTCAACAAGGTTTCTAGCGCTTCCGAGGTTGTAGCGGCCGTTGCAGTTGTGGAGGTTGAAGGGCCTCGCTTCATCATGGTTGACATGATGAGGATGAGGGCGGCGGAGAAGATGTGGTGCGCGTCCCAGTAGCCGAAGGTCGCGATGGAGCCGTCTAGAAAAAGGCTTTCGACGGTGCGGCTGGAGGCCAGGGCTGCGTTGACACAGCTGTCGGCTAGGGCGAGGGTGATGGAGGAGAAGGTGTGTTTGCGCGGGGGTGTCTCATTGTCAGCGGCTTTCTCGTCACCGGGTTTTGTAGAGGAAGAACCTGGTTGGCCGCCCAGCTGGAACTGAGTTTTGAACAAGTGCAGCAGGATCGGTCGGGTGGTCTGGATGATGCACTGGTTGTATGCGAGGTGCAGGCTGGCGACGGGCCGGGGGGTGCCGCGGTCGCGGATGCGCATGCCCTTGGGGAGCTCGTCGTGCCATTCACGAAGCTGCTTGAGGATGCCGTGCACGCGGTGGATGCAGAGGCCGCGTGTGCTCTTGGGGATGCCATAAATATCGGTCACTGCCTATGGTCAGCACTAGTACCCGGTAAAGTCTACCCGGTGAAGTAGAACATACGGATATTCCCAATAATCCTAGCCAACTTAATATTCGTGCAAATCGGCACCGGGTCCAGAAACTCAGCCGTCTCGTCGTCCGTCAGGCCGTCCATACTCGGCATTTCTGTATCGATATCCTCGTCGCGCACCGTGATGGGCTGGCCCAGCTTGGACGCCGAAAAGCGTTCAAAGAAATACAGCACCCACCACGTACGCCGGCGACTCTCCCGCTCAACAGGCGACAGCGGCGAGTGGCTGGGTGTCGCGCGGTTCAAGCCCATGCTGAGGGCCAACCGCATCGCCGTGCCGCTGTATCCGAACGCGGTGCGCACGCGCCCTAAGATGTTGGAGGCCCAGGCCTTTCGTTCCTCACTCAGTACATAATACAAACACAATCTATAGCCGTTAGACATGAAATCCAGGGAAACTCACCAACAAAGTCAACACCTCAACCTGCATCAACGACGGTTCCTCATACACATCCTGCAACAACTGCATATGCATATGCACCGCCCTCACATAATACGCCGTCCCCGGCACCCGATTACTATCCAACACCCCCCTCCGATTCGTATACGTCTCCCCGAGCGCCATCAGTGCATAAAACTTGCACAACCACAGCGTCGACGGCGTCATCTGTCTCCGATACACCGCATCCAGCTCCCGCATGAAGGTCACTTCCAAAAACAGAGGGTGGTAGTTCCCTATGAACCGCCGGGCGACGTTAAGAAGCAGTTTAGCGTGCATACGCTCGGGGAAATAGCAGATTTCTTCTTCGAGCGAGATCGGCAAGCGAGCACTGGGATCAGGAGGTGGTGGTGGAAGCCGGTAGTAATGAGAGAACCCGGCCGTGGAAGGCGCGTACGTGCCGTCGAGACACTGTAGCATGCGATTACTGAAGGCGGCACAGGAGGCTTCGCCGATGAACCCCGGTTCGGAGGACGGTTCGCGGGGCTGCTGGGCTAGGGGAGGAGAGGGCTGGGCGTCGAAGAGGGGGTTAAGCATGCGGGTTTCTTCGGGGGAGAGGGGCAGGGCGTCGTCGTCGTCGTCATGATTCCTGGCAGGTCCCGGACCTGGGCTGGCGGCATGGCTTTCGGGCGTTGGATTTTGGGTGCGTTGGGATTGGATCACGGCGCGGAGGCGTTTGCTGTCGGCTTCGAGGTTGCGAAGATAACTTTAAGGTCGAGTCAGCTAAGTTCCTTGGGATATTCATGTTTTATTTCTTTATTTTGTTTTCATTTTTAATTTCATGTAGGAGAACGCAAACACACCTCTCCGGCACGGCAATCTTGCGCTCCTTGGCAGGAAACGTGCACTCGGCGCCCCGATCGCCGGCGACACACGACCGGCACGGCTGTTCGCCGGAGCACTTGATCTTTTGCGAGTGGCAGCGATGGCAGGCCGCAAACAGCCGCCGAGGACGTTTCGGGGCGCTCATCTTGTATCGTGTAATTTAAATTAACTTGGCAGTAGAAGTGATGCAGTTTCGATATCCGCGTCGATATCCGGAGCTTAGGTGAGGCCGGTTCAGGGTCGAGGTGAGAGGTCCACAGCGAGATGATCCCAAGGGTCCACTGCAAACTGGGAAAAGGAGAAAGGTGGATCAAGATCCGCGCACCCACAATGTCCGACGGTGGGTCCGGGGCCCCAATCTTGGCCGAATCCACAGTGCCGGAGCCGAGACCGGGTTTGGTTTCAGAGTTTCAAGAACTTGGTAGGACGAGGTGAGATGTCTCGATGTTTTCCACGGGGCAATGGATTTGTTTCTGGAAGAATTCGACTATCAGCTGGGCGTTGGAGCTGGGCGTGGCGGACACGTGGTGGGGTATCAGCGCCCCACCTTCCTTATCGGGCTATATAGAGTTAGGCCACTGGATCCATGCCACTCGCGCCGCCCGGCAAGTCCAAACTTGCCGGTCGGCAGTTTGGTCGGCAAGCGGTCGGCAAACAGTCGGCTTCGATGAGCTTGCCGTAATGTGCCGCAAGATGCCGCAAACTACTCGGTTTCAGCCAGCAAGTCTGCCAATCCTGCCAGTGGGTTTATGGGGATGTGGTCGCGTGCTGTTGCGGCTCGGTCGGACTGTTAGTGGCGGGGCATGGCATTGTTGGTTTGTCCGGGGCCGGTGGAACCGTGATGGAGAGTGTTTAAATTGAAAAGAATCCTGTTGATGTTGACTTTATTTCATCTGTTCATCTCATCTTGGCTTTTCATCTTGGCTTTAGCTCACCTGGATTTGCCAATCCTCAGTGTTCTAATCTCATCTTAATTCATTTTGACGATTTCCCTCTGATCTTATCACATCTCATATTTTACACCCTCGTCTCAGACTAGCTCATCTTAATATTCCATCATATAAAAAAGTAACAATGTCCGGTATCCGCATTGCCATCGACCGCGGCGGCACCTTCACCGACGCCTGGGCCTCTCTCCCCTCCGACCCGCACAACCACCTCGTCTTCAAAACCCTCTCCGTCTGTCCAGACGAATACCCCGACGCACCCACAGAATGCATCCGGCAAATCCTCGAGCACGCCACAGGCCGGCCCATCCCGCGCGGCACGCCCTTAGACTTGACTCCTATCGAGTCCATCCGGATGGGCACGACGGTGGCTACGAACGCGCTGCTTGAGCGAAAGGGGGATCGTGTGGCGTTTTTGACGACGAAGGGGTTTGGGGATACGTTGTTGATTGGGAATCAGACGAGGCCGGATTTGTTTGATTTGTCGGTGAGGAGATTGGGGCAGTTGTATGAGACTGTTGTGGAGGTGGATGAGAGGGTCACGATTGAGGGGTTTAGTGAGGATCCGGAGCCGACGCCTATCAATGTAGTGTCTGACCCGGCGTTGGTGATGGGCCAGACCGGGGAGGTTGTCCGGATTCTGAAGAAGCCGGACCTAGAGGTCGTCCGGGCGGATTTGCAGCGGCTGAAGGATCAAGGCTTCCGTAACGTGGCCATCGGGTTTATGCACTCGTACACCTTCCCAGAGCACGAGCTCGCCGTCGCCAAACTCGCAGAGGAAATGGGATTCCGGACGTCGGCGTCAAGCGCGCTGCAGAGCATGGCCAAGTTTGTTCCGCGCAGTCAGTCGGCTGTGGCGGATGCGTATTTGACGCCTATGACGCATGCCTATCTGGAGAGCTTCAGGAAGGGATTCAAGGGGATGTTGGAGGATGAGGAGAGTGCGAATAAGCTGTTGATTTGTCAGAGTGATGGCGGGTTGACAAGCTGGAGGAAGTTTACCGGCTTGAGAGGGGTGTTGAGCGGGCCTGCAGGGGGTGTTGTTGGGTTGGCAAGGACGTGTTATGATGAGAGAGACGGGACGCCGGTGTTGGGATTTGATATGGTGTGTCCTTTTTTCTTTGTTTTCTGTTATTTTCACTTCCTGCAATTCAACACTGACACAAAACAGGGCGGCACAAGCACAGACGTAGCGCGCTACTCAGGTGCCCTCGAACACATCTTCGAAAACACCCTCGCCGAAGTAACCATCCAGACGCCCCAGCTCGACATCAACACCGTCGCAGCCGGGGGCGGTTCCATCTTAACCTGGGAAGCCGGCCTACTCCAAGTCGGGCCCCACAGCGCCGGCGCTAACCCGGGCCCGGCCTGCTACGGAAAAGGTGGTCCCTTGACCGTCACCGACGCCAATTTCTTGCTCGGCCGCATCATCCCTGATTTCTTCCCGCGCAAGCTGGATTTGGATGTGGTCAAGGCCAAATTCCAAGCGCTCGCAGATACGGTGAATCAGGATAAGACCAAGGACGGGAATGCTGGAGAGCCGTTCACCCCCGAGACCCTCGCGCTTGGCTTCCTGTCCATCGCCAACGCGACCATGACCCGCCCGATCCGCACGCTCAGCGAAGGCCGCGGGTACGGTGCTGCGAGCCACAACTTGGGTTGTTTTGGTGGCGCTGGTGGGCAGCACGCAGTGTTTGTCGCGCGGGACTTGGGGATCAAGCGGGCGATTCTGCCGCGGTACTCGAGTATCCTGTCCGCGTATGGCATGGCGCTGGCGGACGTCGTCGTTGAGAACCAGGAGCCGGTCGCGTTGGTCTTTGGGGAGGATGCGCTACCTGAGCTAAAGGCGAGGTTGGCGGCTTTGGAGAAGAGGGGGGCCGCTGATCTGGAAGCGCAGGGGTTTGCTGCTGGTGCTGACGAAAAAGAGAGCATGGTGCAGCACGAGTGCTTTCTCAACATGCGCTACCAGGGCAGCGACACGGCGCTGATGATCCCGCAGCCAGAGTCGGTCGACGGGAAGAGCAGCATGGCTGGGTTCGGGGACGCCTTCACAGCCCGTCACGCGCAGGAATTCGGCTTCTCCCAGTCACGCGATATCTTAATCGACGACATCCGCGTACGCAGCGTGGGCAAGTCGCGCGTGCTGCACACGTCCAGCCCCTTTGAGGACCTCAAGACGTACCAGACCGACGGGCTCACCCCCACGCCGACGCCGCTGTTCCGAAGGCGGATCTTTTATGAGAACCACGGCTGGGTCGATACCAGTGTGTACCAGCTGAAGAGTCTGCGGCCGGGGGTGCAGATCCAGGGGCCGGCAATGGTTCTCGACAAGACGCAGACCATCGTGCTGGACCACGCCAGTCGCGCGGTCATTCTTCCGGAACATGTCGTTCTCGAGGTCAGCAAAGAAACCAAGGAGACCGAAAAGCAAGAAACCGACCAAACAGTTGACCCCGTCCAACTCAGCGTCTTCGGCCACCGGTTCATGACCGTCGCCGAACAAATGGGCCACACCATGGAAAAGACCTCGATCTCCGTCAACATCAAGGAACGCCTCGATTATTCTTGCGCCGTCTTTTCAGCCGACGGAGGCCTGGTCGCCAACGCCCCGCACATCCCTTCCCACTTGGGCTCCATGTCCACCGCCATCGCCTACCAAGCCCAACTCTACAAGCCCGGCGAACTCCAACCGGGCGACGTGATCATCAGCAACCACCCCACTGCGGGCGGCACCCACCTGCCAGATATCACCACCATCACCCCCGTTTTCGACAACGACGAAAACCCCCAGGAGATCCTGTTTTTCGTCGCCAACCGCGGCCACCACGCCGACGTTGGCGGGATCGCCCCGGGGTCCATGCCCCCCAACTCTACGGAGCTTTGGCAAGAAGGCGCAGCCATCGAGTCATTCAAGCTCATCAAGCGCGGGGTCTTCGACGAAGAAGGGTTGTACGAGCACCTCTACACCCGGCCGGCGTCCCACCCGGGCTGCAGCGGCACCCGCACGTGGAGCGACAACGTCGCCGACTTGAAGGCGGCGGTCGCGTCGAACAACAAGGGCATCCAACTAATCCGGGCGCTGATTGATGAGTTTGGCTGGCCGACGGTGCAGTTGTATATGAAGGCGATTCAGGAAAATGCGGCGCAAGCGGTGCGGGAGTTGTTGAAGGGGTTTGCGCGGAAGTATGAGGGGGGAGTCCTCGAAGCGGAGGAGAGGAATGATGATGGGATTGTGTTCAAGTTGAAGGTGACCATTGATAAGGACACGGGCGAGGCGGTGTTTGATTTTACAGGGACGGGGGCGGAGCACTCGGGGAACTTGAATGCGCCCCCGACGTGTTCGTATTCTGTTATCATGGTAAGTTTTTCTTTCGTCCTTCTTTAATCCTTACCCCGATTCCAACTTACCCAATTCCTCTCACCCAACCCTAACCCTAGCTTACCGCTTACCCCCTGAAAAATCCCAAAACGGCAATTCCCAAACAAACACCAAGCCTAGATCATGACTAACAAAAAAAACAGTACTGCCTCCGCTCCCTAATCCCCACCTCCATCCCCCTCAACCAAGGCTGTCTCCAACCCATCCGCCTGGTCTGCCCCCCCAACACCATCCTCTCCCCTTCCCCAACAGCCGCAACCGTCGGCTGCACAACCGAAACCTCCCAAAAGCTCGCCGACCTCATCCTCCGCGCCTTCCACGCCGCTGCTGCCTCCCAAGGCACCATGAATAACCTCACTTTTGGGTATGGTGGGACGGACCCGGCTACTGGGAAAGTCACGAAAGGGTTTGGGTATTACGAGACGATTGCTGGTGGAGCTGGGGCTGGTCCCACATGGCACGGCGCGAGCGGGGTGCACACGCATCTCACAAACACCCGGATCACGGATCCGGAGATCTTGGAGAAGAGATACCCTGTGTTGCTGCATCAGTTCTCCCTGCGAAAAGGCTCCGGAGGCAAAGGTCGGTTTAAGGGAGGAGATGGATGTGTGAGGGAGATGGAATTCCGCGTGCCGTTGCAGGTGTCGGTGTTGAGTGATAGACGGGTGACGGCGCCGTACGGGATGGAAGGTGGCGAGGAGGGGATGAGGGGGGAGAATATTTGGGTGAGGAAAGATGGGGACAGTGAAAGGAGGGTTTCGTTGGGGCCGAGAAAGACGACGTGGGTGGGGAAGGGAGATCGGATTGTTATTCTGACGCCTGGTGGTGGAGGGTGGGGGGTCGAAGGCAGTGAAGAGGAAGAGGCAGTGGCAGAGAAGAAGGGGGTGAAGGGGATGGTAGGGAATGGGACGCTGGGGATGAGGGCGAGCGTTGCTACGGGCAATTAACGTCCTTCAGTGTAATTTAACGATGGCACGCATTTTGAGAGTTGTCTGAAATTATAGAGCAGAATTACGGGTTGATAGCTCAAGAGGGGCACACAGTTCTATCCATATTCACAGATTCATTTCGTCGTGTACACTAATTCGCGTAGCCTGGCGCATGCTTCTCATCTTCCCCCTTGAGCCTGTAGCCCCCCCTTGAAATTGACCGAGAGGTACCCCTCTCATGAGCTGGGTATCATTATATCAGGTCTGTGGAGGAAGATTCAAAACGGTATTATTGAAGAAATAATGCTGTTATACCTAACGGTTCACTGATCATATATCACCGTCTCGGGGAAGTAGAGAATGGAAGGACAGGCAGAAGACAGCGGAATAAAGGGAAACTCACGGTTGGACGCCACGTGGGTAGAGCGAAAAGGAACAAGGCAAACCACAGCAAACGGGAAATATACACAGAAAATACCCCTGCTCCGGCACAGAATATCGTCATTCTATCCTTCAACACGAGGGGTGTGGGCCCCAGTACCGGTTTGATTGAGACAAGGCGTGCAACAATACGATGTGTGGTACAGAGGAACGGTGTCACTATCAGCCTTGACCCCGTAGCCTAGGCCGGGGACAAAGAAGCAATGATTCAGGGCCGAACCAGCCACTGGATGGTAACGAGCCAACGGTTCAGATGCCTCTCCCGCCCGAGAGAGTGGGAGAAGGGCGAGCAAAGCTAGCATGAGCACCCTTGACTAGGGTTCCGGCTCCCGGCAGCTAGTCCAGGAATAATGCCACTTGCGTAAAGTGTGGTAGGGACCGAAGCTGAACCCCAAGGACGCCGAGGGACGTGCTGCACTTGCCGGCGTGCGTGCCCGCGAGGGGGAGATTGCGCTCCTTCTCCGCGGCCATGTCGCTCCCGATGTCATGGCGACAGCGTCTTCAACCGCTAAGGCTCGCAACAGCGCAGCTCCTCGCGAATCGTGACGATGGATTTCCAGCACAGCGAGGCCTTCCCCGCATCAGCCTTGCGCCCGTTGTCCCTGAGCAATTTGCCCTTCGCCGTTCGCCCGCTCCCTAACCTTCCAATTCAGGCACAAAACCGTCGTAACGCCAATTGGTAACCACCCAATCAATGGGTTGTGACGTGTTGCTGATATTTAGTCAACCTTTTGTCTATTGGTCATTGCGTAAGGACTTTCCATTCATTGGTCTTTTCCCTCAATGTGCTACTGGCGAGCTTGGGGTTATTTCAATTTCTCTCTTCTCTATTCCGTGTCTTTTCATTTATACCACATTGTGAACAGGTACTTCACGTCACGCAGTACTCCCTCAGGACGCCGAACAGCCAGGGGAAGCGGGGACGGTCAGGGCATTGAACCGGTAGCAGATTGTGTCCGGGTCGACATTGTAGGTGAATATGCCCACCGTAAATAGACCGTCGGACTTCTGGCAGGCTACAAAAGGGTGGTTGCGATACGACAGCAGGGTGCTTCCAGGATCGATAGACCAGCCATGGGTTTCGACAAGCTCATTAGGGTTGCCGAGGGTATTGTTAAAGTACTCCAGGTTTTCATCATCTAGGTGTTGGTCAGTAAATCTGCCACAGATGGGGACCAACCGGGGGTCAAACTGTCTAGTCGAATAATTAAAGACTTGGGTACATGAACCTCACATCGTCACAACCGTGGCAAAATCCCGCTGCGACGTTCCGTGATACGGAATTACAATGTAAGGAACAAAAGACAATGAAGAAGAGATAAAATACCTTCTAGAGAGATATCCAAGCCGAACTGCTGATGAGAATCTTCCTCGCCCCCATATAGAAACAGCTCGTCATCCTTAAGGAAGAACGTAGCCCTCTCGCTGGACGGTGTATTCTTATCGCAATCCGCTCCCTGCTCGCCGACGTGCAACCCCACCCACAGCTGGCTGTCTTTCGCACGGATGACCTTCTTGTCGATCGGCGAATTCGTAAGGTCCCGTGCAACGAGGTGGAACGTAGAGACTGTGGCCTTGGGGGTCAGGCCTGCGGCGGACACGGAAGCGACGGCGCCAGCGAGGACGGTAAGAACAGTCAGCTGCATGGTCGTGAGTTTTGGTGGTTCTTTTTTATTTATTTTGGTAGGAAGAAGATGTCGTGGTCTTGGATATTGATCTTACTAATGCTGAGGTCCATGGGAAGGCCTCGAAGCGCTGAGGGTGCTTACTTATAGGAACAATCCCACTGACCTAGTCGCCTTCTCTATGACCACTACGCTGCCTACCTGCTTTGCCGGACCTGAGTCGGCGAACCAACAAGTCCACCCTGTGCGCTGTCCGTTGTCCTAGACTTTAGTGGCATTGTGGGCCGCAAAGCCCATGGGGTCTACTGTAGCTTGATTAATTCTCCGAGCGATGAGATCATGAGACAACTAACACAACGTATCTAGGGAGTCGGGTTCACGGTTCACCTCCCCCGTGATCCGTTGCCTTGACATTATCACCACAGATTACTCAACAATAGCCTTATTTCAACTGAGACCTGCCTTAAGGCTGGGCTGGCTGAAAAGCAACTGGTGTGTTGTGGTCGCGATTAGAAAGCTGAATCGCGGGGTTGGCAGTGAGAAAACAAGAACACGAATCGACGATCGAATAAAAACTCGCGATTCAAACCGGGGCGACAGAGTCTAGACCACTACCCCTGTGAGCGCAAGGCATTCCGTTCACAGACATTCACGGATAGACCCAAAACCAGGACATCTTGATATTGGCACTTCGGCACATCGAGTATCCGTGGCAAGCTTTTGACCCATGTAGGTTTAGTTCTATCTTGATGATGGATCTCAGGTCTCGGGAACTCTGTCACATGCCACTCCGGGGCTTGTCCATGCATTTGACCAATCGGAGCTTACCTAGAGAATCTGAGACACGAAGATCGCAGCAACCTGCAATGCCCAACCGCGCTTACACACACGTCCCCCAAGAACGGAGAAAGCACAGCGCGGGTGCTCGGAGGTGACCACGAACGGGATCACTGACAGGAGCAAATCATCGAAGCAACCTCAACTCACAGAGAGAGAATTAATTAACTCAGCATAATCATTTCCAGACGGCCACAACCACTCCTCTGCAGGGTATGCTCACGCAAGACCACGCCATGCCATGCCAGAACGCCATACTATACTACGAGTACACAGATATGAACCCACCAAACGCACGTGTGTGGGGGGGTATTTCAGCCAGACGCCTTCCTTCTTTCAGACGCCTCTTGCGTCATTCAGACCACAGGATATAACCTGCCAACTTTTCGCTTTCACCGCTCTCGACCCCACTCCCTCGCTCCATTGCTGAAAACTCGAAAGGCATCCCATGCTCCTCCTGTAGGACCCATCCTCCATCCCCAGTGTCATGCGCCCTTTGCGATCCATCTCTTGACTCCCCACCCTTTATGGCCCATGTCTTATGTTACTGGCCTTATTCCCCCCCTAACATTTCCCGACAAACCCCCAACCTTTCCTGCGCCTCTTGCAAAATCTCCGAATGTGCCTCCGCCAACACAGACCGCAACACATCCAATAAATCCGGCAGTCCATCCCGGAGCGCCGACCCCATCGCTATGCTTTCCGTCAATTCTGTCAAGGACGCCGTGCTGGATAGGTAGCCGTTCACTCGTCGGTAGGTGTTGGCAGGGAGGTGGAGTTTTCCGTGGGTGTGACTGGGACCAGGGCCGGGGTCTTGCATGGTGTCGTCTTGGCGGCTGATGGCGCGAACAAAGGACCAGATGCAGAGGGCCGCGTAGTACATGACCCAGGGGCGGTGGGGGTCGGGTTCGCTGCGGCAGGAGTAGGTTTGTGGTTGGTGCTGTTGTGAGTGTTGCTGGTGTGGTTGTTGATGCTGCTGTGGTTGTTGTTGGGGATCTCTAGACGGGAGGCTGACGACTCCTGGGCCAATGTCATGGCGCTCGCGGTCGCCCGCGCTGGGACTGCGGCGTGGGTCGACGAGCACGCGGTGGAGCAGTTTGATGGCGTGTAGGACGGCGTGTCGCGTGGAAGGCTGGGCAGACCAGGCGCGCATGCGCGCAACGACATTGCCGTAGTCTCGCACTGAGATTTTCCGCCCGAGTAGCCGCTTCACGCCGGCGTAGACCTGGCAGTCGATGATGTCGACGTGGAGACTGATTTGGGCCAGGTGGTACAGGACAGCCGCGCTGTGGACCGGGCCGTTGGAGCCCGGGGCATCGGCTAACGTGGTGTTCCCGGCGGCCCCTTGCGCAGCGTCGAAGCTCTTCTTCCAGTCGTCGAACGCGCGCAGCAGCGTCTTCTTCCAGGCCTCATGTGTCTCGGCCGACGGGGCGGTAAGGTCCAGCCACTTGAGGTGCGTCTCCCGGTGGCTGAGATGCCAGCCCACGCTCAGCAGGCCGGACATGATGATCATGCGCCCGAACGAGTGGGTCTTGACCTCCTTGCCATGCAGTGCGCGCTTCAGGCCGTCGAGGAACGAGATCGGCCGGATGCCGTACATCCGTAGGTTCTGGTCCAACTGCCGGACCGTGTCTGGGTTCGACGCTGTCCACATGTTGTCGTCGCAGGGAAGTGGTAACCGGATTTCGTGCGGCGCCATGTCCGCCGCGTGCCCGAACATGGCCGCGTGGATCACGTCCATCATGAACGCCGCAAACACCACCCGATGCATCGCTTCCGTTTCAGCCCACCGGCACCACCATGTGTGCGAGTCAAGCGTGACACCCTGCGGTTGCTCGGCGGAGGGTTCTTCGGGAGGTGACTCGCTCCCGGAACGGCCGATCAGGGGACTCCCACGCCGTAGCAGGGTTAACGCTACCGAGTGGTAGATGTGGGCGCGCTCGTGCAGGCGGCGGGACGACCACATCTTCTCATAAAACTCGAGTAACAGGAGCGCCTGCGAGACCCACAGCGAAACAGGCGGTTGGGCGTCCTCGGCCGTGAGGATTTCTGACCGCACTCCCAAGATGATCAGGTCCGCAAACCCGCCGTAATCAGCCAGGTTCCCCGTCGTGTCGCGCGTGCGCAGCGACACAGCCCCCAGCGCGACCATGACCATGACCAGAAAGATCGAACACCGGTTGCACGAGAACGTCGGCTGATGGACGATGGGCAGCCGGGGCGACACGCGGTCCCAGTACTCTTGCAGACAGTCGCGCATCATCTCCAGACCCAACGCCGGGATATCCCCGCTTCCATCGTGCACCAGGTTCGCGACCAGCGGCTCGGCCTTGGGCTGCTTTTGCCGGAAGACCTGGAACCACCGGAGAATCTCCTGATGCCGGAACTCCGCCAGCAACTCATCCGTCTCAGCGAACCGAGTAGGGGTCTCCAGCTGCGACCGTCCGCTCGTCAACGACTCATAGTCGTAGTGAATGTTGTTGTTCAGCGTCGACTCCAACCCACCGTCCATGAACGGCACGTGCGAGACACCAAAGTCGCCGTAGGGCGCATGCGGGTTGAAGAGCCATACGGCGAAGTTCTCGCGCATATCATCCGGCTGGAACTCGCCGGAGTGGTACGACAACGCCGCGGGCTGCTCGGGCATGCGCTGTTCCTGTTGCGGGTAGTAACCCGGTTTCTGCCGGATCATGTTGGAGGTGCCCATGTTGGGCAGCTGAGTGTGCCAGCCGCCATGTTGGTTCATACTGCGCTGGTTCGGATTGGGCAGCGACGGTGATGGCTGTGAGGCCGAGTCCGGGCTCAGTAATATCGCGGCGTCGTGCGGGGCCCGCGGAGGGACAGCAGGGCGGCCGTTGGGCCCAGTCGTCGTCGGTGATATAACAGTCGTCGGGGGCGAAGAGTCCGTCGTCGCGCTGAAACTCGGCATGCGGTTTCGGGGAATGTACGAAGCCGAGTGCCGTTTCCTGTGACGCGCCAGGAGGTCGGCCCGGACGAACTTCTGGGCGCACTACGCTAGAGTGTCAGCGGCTATCGCGCGTCTTCCAAATATCAAGTAGCGGGGGGAGTGCGCTCGTCCGAGGTGTGAAACGGGGCGGAGGGAACGCATACCCCGGCAACGTCGCAACGGTATATCTCCTTAGGGGCGTCTAGGTCAGGTTAGTCCACGGCTGTTATCGTCGCGAAGGAAGAAGAGGGCGAAGCGCACGGTTCAGTTGGTGTCGCTGGAGATGCTCGGCTCTCGAGTACAACTTATCGCAACCGGGATACTCGCAGGCGAAGCGACGCGGCGCTCCTTTGCGACTCGCCCGCTTGTACGAGGAACTCAGCGCGGTCGCGCGGTTCTGCGGTTGGGCCGCATCGTGGGACTCCATGGCGAACACTTCCTCGTCTCGTTCTTCTGTTTTAGGGTGAATGCTATGAAAGTGCCGCGCCGGCTTCGGGGCGCGCGGAGCTCATGCGGGACACATTCGGGCGCAATCAATCCCGTTTGGGCGGAAAGGGAAAGAAAAAACGGGGGGTAACGTTGGGAATGGGACAGATAGCGAACGGGAAAATGGGAAAAATGCGAGAAATCAGGCGGCGGCGCGCGCCTCTCCGTCGCAAAAGAAGAACATGAGAGAAAAATGGTGTCGAGCAGGGCGACCGGGTGCAGATTAGGCGCGATGTGCGGTGTCGAGTTCAATCATTCCGTAAGCCGAACGAACCTCATGCGAGCAAAAAGCTCGAAAGGGTGTGGTCTCCCCAGATGCCCCGGGCCCCGGGCGCGCGCCCACGCAGCGGGAAACCCCCACGCCCTTCTCCACACCCCACCAACAAGTGTCCAGGGCGTTCATCCTCTCCACGTGTGGGTAGGGGAAGTCCAAAAGCGAAGGGGCAAATGTGTGACGGAAGGAATCGGGATCCGTGCTGGTCAATCGGCCTAGATAAAAAGGAAAATGCGAGAAAAGCGAGACGGGAACATCTAAAATTCAGCAAAAGACCATGGCGGAAGGAAAATGTGTTACTCTCATCAACTCATCAACAAGGAAAGAGCTCAGGGTCAACACACCGACCTGCGGGGTAGCACACCACCTGCACCTCAACGTCCAACCTGTCAAGCAAAAAAGTAAGCCTTTTGGGCAAGAACGCTCCGCAAAATTCCCCTGTGCAGCGTGGGGGTCCATCAAACCATCCAGTCCGGGCACCTAAAATTATTCGCAACGCCCAGCAAAGCCGACCAACGGGCCATCGCGCAACAAAAGACATGGGAACGATTGGCGGCCACCTCAACAATCGATTCGTTGATGTCTTGCGGCCAAGCCTTGAAGGCTTCATGACAGACATGGAGCTCCCATACCCTACCCATGTTCCCCTGCGGGCGCCGGGCCAAAAACCCGGCCAGCCACTGTGAAAACACCCCGAATGCGCCAAATCCCGCGGAATTACACTTTCCTCCTCCCCTTCATGCTCGCTGGTAGATTGATGAAATGCAGGAGCGTGGCTAGCGCGTGGGAAAAGGAGGAGATTTGTTCGCTGACCTGAACCTCCGCGCTCTCGTTACTGCAAGGACCAAATGAGCTGAGATCGACCCTGCAGCTTCCCACCTATCCCATGGTGTTTTCATCTTTGGGATGCCCGAACGGAGACCCCGGGTGGGGAAAACGATGACCGGCAGCCGGGGCCCGGGGCCGGAGCTGAAGTTGACAGAGGAAATCCCGGGCTTGCGCTATTTTTTGTGGTCCCGGCAGGGGTGATACCGTGATACGGCACGTTGGCTGTTGGTGTTTGCGAAGGCTTGATTCAATGCTGTGATGTTTCGAGACCGGTAAAAAAGAGCCGAGTTTCTCTCGGTAATTTAATGTTCTCTCATCTCTTGATTTCTTCGTCTGTCTTAAACAACATACAAAACCCGCAACCCAACGTCAACCACGCGCCCGTCCCATCGAGCCATTTGACATTGACGTCCAGAACCACCCTCTACAACCGGTTAAACCGACACCGCCGACAAGCCAACAACTGACACTGTCGACACTCATAGATATAGTTCGGCAGCGTGTGGTTGCACTCCTCGCACCGGTGCGTCCCACCGCGCGACCGCCACGACGTGTGGTCGCACTCGTGGTTCTCCACGAGCAAAGCCCGCGCCTGCTCTACCATCTCGGCTCGTTGGCGCGCGCCCAGCCGCTGTCCGCCCGCGTTGCGGTCTACGACCACGTTGGCCCGGTTGAACAACATGCGCTCTTCCCACTGCGCGCAGCCGCAGGTCTTCCAGGGCAAGCCGCAGACGTAGCAGAATTGGGCGCCGCAGCGGCAAGCTGAGGGGTTTATGTCAGGTGAAGGTAAAATAAAGTAGCTAGGAAAAAGAAAACTCACTGATATGATTGCACCCGGTATTCAACTCCACAAACTTCTGACACGCGCGACACCGCTGCCAGCCCTGCTCCTGCGCCAACTGCAGCACCTGCTGCGTCGCCGGGTCATCAGGACAATCCCGGCTAACATGTTCCGCCCCCTTGCACAAAACACACGTCCGACGGCCGCATTGGAGACAATTCCCGACCTGGTTCCAGATCAGCTCGGGTGGTACCCACGTCGAGCACGTCGGCCGGTGGCAGTAGGTCCGGTTGGGGGTGTCGAGTTCGCGCTTCTTGGCCTGGAACTGGCCCGCGAGGGTGGCTGTCAAGTGGGTGCGACAGCTGTCGAGAGGGATGGGCTGGCCACAGCAGCGGGGAGGGAAGAGACTCTCGTCGGTAAGGGCCGAGGTGAATAGGGATTGGATGCAGTCGCGGCAGTATTCGTGACCGCAGTCGGGACTTCTGGTGAGGTTGTTGATCGGGTGCCGGTCGGTGCATGCGATGCACTCCCGCGTAGCAGGCATCTTTTTGATTGGTTTCGGCGCGGCCGTGGTCGTCCGGTGGGCCGGCCGTCTTTGTGCTGCCCATGATGAGGACTCGGGGCTGTTCATGACGTCGTCGTCGGCCCCAGTTTGGTGTGACTGGAGGAAACCGAACGACACCGGCGACTGCGACGGAGAACCAGAGATATTGAGGTGTCTCAACCTCTCGACGACCTCGTCATCCACTGCCCCAGCAGCAGCCGACGTGTGGTCGTGACGATTATCTTCCGGCACCGGCTGGCCCCCCATTCGAAACGCCATGCGCCGATCCCGCGTGCTCCGCTGCTCCTCTGAGACTAGCGCCTGGATCTGCTCGGCATCGGCATCCACGGCGGAAGCCATGCTCCGGCACATGGCCTGGTCAGCCAGGAATTGCGACCGGGCGGCCAGCTCGTCGCGATACGCGTTGATCGCGACGGACAAATCGTCGCGGGGGTCATGTTGTCCGGCACGCCCTTTGCCCTTGGGGGCGTTCACCCGGGCCATTTCCTCCAAGTCTTGCAATTGGGCTTTGATGATGACCTGGAGGGTGGCCTCGTCGAGGTCGGTGAGGGGGTCCATCTTGCTGCGTGCGTGACTGTGCTGTTAATTTGGCCGGTGTTAGAAACAACAACAAAAAAGAAATGAAAGAATGTTATGAAACATACGCCGAGGTCTTGATCTATGGATTGGCCGAAGGGGATGCAAACCGAAATGTTGGATTGCCACGTAATTGAGGCCGTTTGTTGGAAATGCACGGCCGATTGCATTGACTGCAGATCTGGGTGGCCTCAGTGCGTGGAAATGATGGGGTTGTGGATTCAAAGCGGATTATTTAATGGAGAAAATTTTCAGAAAGATTCCATAACGTGCCTGCCTTCTCGGTTTTACCTCCATGATTTCATCCGGTTCTCACGTTCTCCCTCTGATTCCTGAGTGCTACTTTTCCAACAGAATCACGTTGTTCACAAAAAATGTAATGGGCTAATATCCGACAAAATCCGCTCGTTCATCGCTGATAACGTCCCCTAGTAGAGCGAACGCAATTATGATACAGAGCATGTAACTAAAGAGTAATATACAACAGAATTTCGTATTTCCACAGTTCCAGGCTCTCGGACCCCATTGGAGAGCCGTATGACTGCATATACCTGATTCTAATGGCCTGAACCAGGCGAGGACTGTCCCCAGTTCAGGTGAAGGGAGGTGAAACCGAGCCACGGTCCCAGACCTAAGGTGTAATTGGTGTAAGGAAGGACCTGGCGGACGACGGGCGCGTCCATAGTAGGTCGGTAATTATATCCGGCTAAGCGCCTCGCCTTAGACGTAATGAAGGCTTCCCAGGACAGCGGCTACGATCCGTATGATGTGACTCTGTTGTTTCTCGACCCCGAAACACACAACAGCGACAGACTCTGAGATAGCGACCACGAGTGCCTTGGCGGCCAAGGCCTTTTGATGTGCTGTAATAGCTAGGAAATCCTCGGAGCGAGCATCTCCCATGGAAAGCATCCACCCGCTGACCGAACCAACCGAACCTTGACAATGACGATATCGGGCGGCTCGCTGCCTCGCTGCCCCATTACCCCGAGATAGTAGTCCCCGAAGAGAACAGGTTTCAAGTCATGTTGACGACCAGTAATCTCGGAATAGAACTTCGTGGTCCACAGGGCACATTGCTTTCTTGCCATCTTGCCATCTCGGCTCGCGGCTAGCTAGCCGTCAGCTTCTGGGACCTCCGCCTGGGCTATCGCGAAGGGGAATCCAGGTGGCGGGCCACACTCCCTCGCGGTGTGATTGGCGACGGTGGGACTGTTTAAGGGAGAGGGGGTAATTACATGGCCTGGTGGGTCAGCATTTTGGGGTGGGAGTTGTTAGGAAGGTGGGGGGGGGGGGGGTTGTTAACAATGAGAGAGGGAAAGGTTTGTCTTTGGAGTCGTGAGCGGTTAATTGGAAAGAAAAAATTGTGGTTTGGGAGGGTTTGGGGGGAAAGGCGGATTCGGGATATGACACTTTTACTCGAGGACTTCACCTGATTTTACGGTGATTCAAAAAAAGTTTCCGGAGTTTGCCAACCTCCCTAGTTGGTCTCGTGATTTTTGGGCGCATGTTCTACACTAATAACACCAACACTTGTAGGCCCCGAGAGTTAGTACGAAGCAGGAATGTGATTTAAAACGGAACGACCCGCGATTTTAGTGCAACGTGTGTTCTCTTGTACAGCTTGTAATTCATCATCAATTGGTCCCGAGCGCTGTTCCTAGCCTCACAACCACTAGACATTCGGCCTCCATGAGAAGCGGCGTTTGATTTCAAATCCATCGAATCTATCACCCTCGTTGTCAACCCCGTCACCAACCACATCTACAAGTAAAGCCCTTCTGAACCAAGGCGTCGGGCCGTCAAGCCGTCCTCCTGGATTTACTGCGTGCTGTACTCGCAGCCCAACGACGTGCCTTCGGGAATGGGCTGGGCAGGAAAGGTTAAGCAGGATTTGTCCAATATGGTGGTGGGGAGCAACACGTCCACCGAATAGAAGCCGTCCGTTTCCGGGCACGCGAAGAACTTGTAGTTGGCAAACGACCCGCACTGTAGCCCTTGAACAAAGCCCTTCGTGGTCCAGGGCTTACCGGGTGCTTCGCCGGTGTTGTTAAAGTACTTTAGATTGCCCCGCCCTGGGTATAGGTGTATATCGTATCAGTAATTAGATGTACGTGTGGTTTGCCTGTTTACGTGCTAGGAAAAGAAAGCAAAGAGAAACTAGAAGAAGACGGGGAAACGTACCCGTTGCCTCAACGTCCACAGCAAATTGTTGATTGGACCCGGTCTCGCCGCCATATAGGAACAGCTGGGAATCTTTGACAAACAATATCGCCGCCCCGTCCCCCGGTACGAGATCCCCCGGTACGAGATCCCCTGTACACTGCTGGTCTAGATGGAAATCGAGCTGTGTTAACCACAGCCGGCCCTTGCTCACCAGGAGGGACCTCGCTTTGTACCACTCCCCTTCAAAGAGGTGGAACGTGGGAGGCGTGCGCTCGGCCGGCGTGTCCTTGGGCTCTACTCGGCCTGGTGAGGGCCTAATATATTAGCAAGTGTCAGCTGCCCGATCTTTCCAATCACTTGTTTGTTACATTCCACACTTGTGGAACCTTATTCCAAGTTCCAATTAAGAGCTGCCCGGGGCTGGCTGAACACCATTGATGCCTCATCTCGTAGTGGCTTTCACGGTGTACACGTAGTGTAGAACGGCGATTCGCCATCGACCCGCAGGAGCTGAACTGCCCGTTCCGGGTTTCTGGGTTTCCCCACCTGGCAAGAATGTCCACATCATGAAACACAGACATATGACGTGCCATCGACACCAAGACATTGCTCGTCGGTCATCGGTGGCTGAACACATTACGTCTTAATCTTATTGTCCACAACCCAGGCCCAACCCCCGGAACATCTTCTGTTTGGCACGCCAAGCCCGTCGCCCTGCGGAGTGCGGAGTGCGGCAATTCGGGAATTTTCTTCACAGAACCGACCCGATGACCCCAAGAGATTTATTTTTAAGTGTTGGTAGTGCCGCAGTGCTCATTCGGGCAAATATTACAACGCTACCTCACAGCCTCGCAAACACTCCTGCCTTGTACCTCGATCTACCCGGCCAGGTACCCTCAACCCCGTTGTCAAACCCCATCAACCACACCTCCAAAGTAAAGAAAGCCCTGCCCTGTTAGGCCGTCAGGCTGTCATGCTATCCCCCTCGGCGTCTTCCTCGGTGTATTTGCAGGGAACCTCGTTTATGTGCCTGGAGGCGAGGGAGATGGGCTGAGCGGGAAAGTCGACGCAAGCTGGATCGTATTCAGAGTTGCGGACGACGACATCCACAGTGTACGAACCGTCACCTGCAGGGCAGGCAACGAAGGGGGCGCCACTAAACGAAACGGTGTCCCAGTTACGAACCCAGCCCTTAGTCTGGAAGCTGTCACCGGGTGTGCTGCTGGTGTTGTCGAAGTACTTGAGGCCGTTCGGGCCTAGATGTTTTGTGAGTGATAAATCCATCGTTGTTTTCCCCTCTTTAGATACTAGTCGAAGGAAACAAAAAGAAAGGAAAAAAAAAAAAAAAGAACAAGAAGAAGAGAAAAACCCTACCCGTTGCCTCAACGTCGACTGCAAGCTGCTGATGGGAGTTGTTATCCTTACCACCATACAGGAATAGCTCGTCGTCTTGCATAAACAGCGTGGCCACCCCGATTTCCGGCGGCAGCCCGACGTCCAAGTCACACTGTCGGTCTTGCTTCCGTTTGGGCAGCGCCAACCAGAGCTTGGACTGGCTTGCCATGATGACCTGCCCGCTAACCCCCTGGTGCCAGCCCCGTGCAATAAGGTAGAATGTACTGGATGCGTCATCAGGGGAAGCGTCCCCCGGGGAAGCATCCTCTGGGGACGTGTCCTTGGGGTCAGGGCTGCGGCGGACACTGAAGCCGCGGCGCCCACAAGGAGGGTAAAGAGAGTGGTGAGCTGCATGGTGGTGGCTAAGGCTCTTTCGGGGGGGTGGGGGGAAAGGATTAGAAAGTTGAGTTGGCGTTGAAACCTTGGTTGGAGCGTGTATTGGATGTTTTCGAGGGTTTAATGGTTATAGGTACCTACCTATATTAATTGCGGTAAGAGAAGAGGTATGTACCTACCTACCTACCTAATGTACCCCCAGTAAGAACATCGAGACCTGCCCATCAACGGTCAACCTTAGCATTAATTAAGAGCATCCAAACACCAAGAATACCAATACCCCAATTTCCAACCAAGTTTTATCCACCAACTCAGCTTGCAAACTACAATCATGCAGCTCACCACCCTCCTCGCTCTCCTCACCAGCGTCATGGCTTCCGTGCCCGCCGCAGCTCTCGCCCCTAAGGCCGAGGGGGCCGATTGGACGGGTCCCAAGTTCAGCCTTGTTGCACTACGTCCAGGCACAGCGATCCATGAAAAAGACATTACGGCGAGCAACTCTCAGCTGTGGGTATCTAGGCCGGGGGGCCAGCAAGGCGCACAGTGTAACAACGGACAAGGGACGGCGTCGGGTAATAATACGATGACCACACTGTTTATCAAGGACAACGAGCTACTCCTGTACGGTGGTGATGAAAACTCCCATCAGCAGTTTGCCGTCGACACCGAAAAAGCAGCTAAGTGATCTGTGCTTTTGTCTTACTCGTCTTCATCCTCATTCTTCACGTCCGGCTCTATTATAAATAAGTAGATATAAAGTAAGGATATATCGAGCTTCACTAACGACCATTTAGCTGAAGATAACCTGGAGTACTTTAACAGCGTGAACTGGGGACCCGACGAGCGTTTTGAGACTAAGGGACGGACTGTTGACCTCGAGAGCGGCTTTCTAAGCCCTTCCGAAGAACCCTTCATAGCCTGCCCGGGGTCCGACGATTCATATACAGTGAGCATGTTCACCCGTAGCTCCGGTCAGGAATTACTCGAACGCTGCATCCTGTTTAATGCCCAGACCAAGGTTGTGGGCCAACCAGTCTCCTGCGAGTACAGCGAGGAATAGGTCTAGGAGAAGTTGAGCGCCGGAGAGGCTTATTTAGAGGTGTGGTCATGGGTTTGACAACGAAGGCGAGGGTTGAAGAGGCGGAGAGCAAGATTGCAGAAAGTTAATTGCAAGGTAAAATTAGATCGCTGTGTACAAGTAGGTACCTTTAGTCAGGTCCATCAAAACAGTCAAATCTATCACGTCTCCACCGCGCAATTCCTTCAGCGAAACCTTCCAATCCAGCCATAACCCGTTGATCGAAGCCACCGTTAAATCCAGCCGCATGCGCGCGTCGGCTTCCATCACAGGCAGGATGCCAAGGAGGAGGGTTATGGTCTGTCGCAACAAAATTCTGAGAAAAAATAAGGCGCAAAGATCAGAGTTGGGGTTTTGGATGGCCTACTCCGGAAGTACTTGTCTGGTTCAACGGCTTCTTTGCACCTCAATGTCGCCATTTCACCTAGCGCGGTTCAATGGCCGTCTTGCACCCATTTTAGATGACAACCATACCCGACCCGGGCCACCGACGTCCACTACCCTTATACCAACTCACGGTGTTACCGCATGTCTCTTGTGACGACCCAAACGCCAAAAGTTGTGGCTGGGATCACCAGCTAGGATTTGGGTTTGGGTTTGTCCGCGAACACTCTGTTTTACCTGTGACGTCACGATCAACCAGGCAGTATTTTCGACTTTGGATCTCGAGTTTGCATTTGGTTTCCATCTCCGATCCGAGACTCGGCCATTGACCGGCAACGGCGGCGAGCGGCCGACCGGCGAGTCGGCGACCACAACACGGCACACCGTCAGTTTTCAGCTGGCCTTGGGTAGCTCCCAGTTGGGAAACAACTGAGACTTCCATTGCTGATCAGGCAAACGATTACCAATTTCGGTAGCCCCAGCCCTGGTGTCTCTGTTGTCTCAACGCCCGGAGAAATACAGCGTCCGAGATCGGCGGCCCGGCAGCCCCGGCCCACACAGGTCGCCGACAGGGCCTGCAGGGCCAGCAGCGATAATACCCAGCGAGGTACACTACTCCATACTGGATGCAATTCTGGGCCAAGAACACCACGTGGGTAGACCCGAGCCTTGTTGGTGTCTCCAATTCTTCAGGTGGGATAAGACAACACTTGATGCATTAAGCTGTGATGCGGTGCGGCCATCACAGACTCGGATCTCGTCGCGGACAGGGGAGCCCGCTGCCGATCGGGTAGTTTCCGGTTCGGGAGGTCAGTGCGGTCTCCCGAGGAGCGGTGATAGCCGGCCGGTCGGACGGAAATCTTGTATAAAAGACCATGCTACCTACTCTCTCAGCACGTCGAGACCTGCCTAGGGTACCTATTGACTGCAACCTCAACATCATCAACACACTTCACGATCTAGGTACTCTTTGACACCTACTTCCCTCCTCAAAAAAGACCACCACCATGCAGCTCACCACCCTCTTCACCCTCCTCGCCGGCACCGTGGCTTCGGTGTCTGCCGCAGCCCTGGTGCCCAAGGACACGTCCCCCGAGTTCAACCTCTTTGTGCATCAACCGGATGCAGAGATCCACGGCAGGCCCCTCATCGCAAGCAAGAGCAGGTTGTGGATATCGCCGTCCTGGACTAAGCAGGACGCAAGGTGTAGATGGGGGCAGGGGCAACCGGCCGAGGGCAACGCGGCTGTGTTGTTTCGTGAAGACGACAAGCTGTTCCTTTACGGTGTCGAGGAGGACTCCCAGCAACAGCTCGCTCTGAATCCCAAGGAAAACGGTATGCTTCCTCGTCTTCTGCTCTTCTCTCCATTTACTAGTATATGTGCTAGGATGAAAATACCTACGTATTTATCCAGACGTTCTGACGAATATCTAGGCCAGGATAACCTCCTGTACTTCAACACTGATGGTGGTGTTCCGAATCAAAATTTGTGGACCGAGGGCTGGACGGAGGACGATGGATACCTGTCATTTCTCTCCGCTCTCTTCCAGGCCTGCCCGGTAGACAATGAGTGGAATACATTCAGGGTGGACATATATGCCAACGCCACCGCGATCGATGAAGGCTGTTTGACCTTTCAAGCCAAGATCAAAATCGACGAGGATCCGCTACCCTGCACGTACAGCCTGGAATGAGGTGAGGGCGATGACGTGAGGAGTTCACGGGAAAGCCGGAAGGAATCTGCTTCGACAATGTGTTGGACAGGGTGAAAGTTGGTTACCTAGGTGGAGAGCGAGTTGGTGGCGGGTCAGAGTTGAGTAAGGTAGGGAGCGGGTATTCGAGTCTGAGAAGGAACTTGGATACCTAGGTAAGTAGCCTGGAGGAGCTAGTTACGACTAATAATAATGGAGTACTCAAGTCTCGCCCTGTTGGTTCTATGTGAGCTAAGTTTTTACGTTCGTACTCTGCCCCCCGCGCCCTGCACCGTTCCATCGCCCCCTCGAGTCTTGCGTGGTTGGATAGTTGTGTTACAGCTCGCGTATGCGATGGCTGGATTGTACCGATTTTCGTTGACAGAACCGTCCAACCTCCGGCAACCAGCCTCAGGGCAGCTGGCACAGAGATCCGGAGGTAAGGTCAATGGCTGCTGATCCGAGCTGCCGGCAAAACTAACCGCAAGTTTCTGACGCTGGTCACGACTCACACGGCCCTATCATCCATGCCACGGACGTTCGGCGTGTAAACATAAAAATGTCCTGGGTTTGTGTTTGCATCTCGAGCTTTCATTTGACTTTCCGGCAGTTAGTTTTGTGACTGACTGACCTGTCTTGAAACACACACAGCCAGTGGCCGGTGTGACGGGGTCCACGATGGGGTGACAGTTAGCGTTCAGCTAGCCCCGGGAGGTCTCAGCTATGGTTGGGGGCGAATCCGGACTCAGTGCGCCCGGACTGCGTTGAGAGTTCGCGGCCTCCTCCGGCCGATGGCGCGGCTACACTGTTTATCAGCGGCTACCAATTGTTCCTGTACAACGGCGACGGACAGTCCCATCAACAATTTACCGTCGATGTCGACATAAAGCGTATGTGCTGTCTTCTTTGTTTCGATATTCCCCTTTCCGTGCTTACCTATATAGGGGCAAGGAGTAAGTCCGGATCTACTAACAACCACTTAGAGCAAGACAACCTGAAGTATTTCAACAACGCTAATGGCAAACTTGATCCGTCGCTCAAAACCAAGGGCTGGCTTTTGAGCCCGGGAGAGCGGACTATATCGTTTAACGACTTCCCATTCTTTGCCTGTCCAGCGGATGAGGGCGGGTATAGGCTGGACCTGGCGCGCAGCCAGGACGAGAGCCATGCAGGCTGTATTCCTTTTGAGGTCCGCACTAACGAACAGGACCGCCCGGTGCGCTGTATGTACACCGAGTAATGGGTCGGCGAGGGCGAACCTAGAGCCGAGAACCTGACGCGGGAGTGGGGGGGGGGGTCTACTTTGAGATGTGATTGACGGGGTGAAGGTTGCTTGATTGCATGGACTCTGGAGGGCGGGTTGGAGGGAGGTTAGCGTTGGGGAGAGATAGCTGGGGTTGGATTCCGAGAGGGAACTTGGAAAGTACATCGCCGCTATCAAGGGCAAGCTATTCGTAGTGCTGCGCTGGGCCAGCCAAGACTCTCAGTGCCCGGCGACCTTCCTGACGGGGCGTTGCGAGGGCGTGGCCTCCTTCTTTATCTAAGACGACGGGCTGTTCCTGTTCGGACGGAGGCAGGGTCTCCATTCTGTAAATACCTAAGGTACCTAGGTACCTACCTCTACCTTACCCAGGTAAAGTCCACACACATGCAGGCTGACTGAACCCTAACCGTCCCCGCCTGTCACAATCCAGGTACATACACCGTAACAACGCCTGATATTTCTGATATTTCTGAATTCTATCATCTGGAATCAGTACAAGAGGGCATAGATAGAGGGCCCCAATGCACGATCCCCCCCCGCTCCCCTCGGGACTAATCCCGAGGGTTTCGCGAGGAAGATCCATCCTGTTGATCGGGCCTAGATAGAAACTACCCCACCATCCGGCCAATTCGCGAGCGTCAGGAACCCGATCTTGTCTCACTACCTAATATGGGTCCCGTTAAGGAAATTACCGCGGCAGGCACCTTGGAACCTGAGGTATGCTACACGGCTGCATTGTAGTACACTAGGCGACGGTAACAATCACATCTCTGGATCTTCTCGATGCTTTTAATGGCTACCAATCCAACTTGCTGGCATAACTCGCAGGAAGTTGGGTTGCTCGAAAACTCCAATGCCACGGATCGTCAGCGTGCCAAGCATAACGTGTCTCGGGCTCTTGTTTGCATCTCGATCTTTTCTTCGATTTCCGTTTTAAGCCCGAGAGTCACATACCAGTAATCAGATTGACCCAAGACAAGTCTCAGTTGAAATAAGGTTCTGGAGTGCCGATCGGGCAAAAGGCCGCTGTCCCAGTTGTCTTAGTGTAATTATCCCACGGCCGGCGAGGCTATGGTCATCACAGTCACGGATCTCGTCCCGGCAATAGACTGGACAGCCCTCTGCCGATCAGCGGGTTTTCATCTCGGGTGGCTGATCGTGGTCCCCGGACCTGGGAGGCCACACGGTGGGAATGCTTGGATATTAATTGACAAAGCACCCCCAACATGAAGCACATCAGAATATCATTGACATCAACAACCAAGTTTTCAACACCAACTCACCTTCCCAACCTCTCCCTGCAACACAACCACAACCATGCAGCTCACTACCATCTTCACCCTCCTCGCCGGTACCGCGGCTTCCGTCTCCGCCGTTGCCCTGACCCCCAGGGCCACGTCCCGCAACTTCATCCTACGTGTACAGGACGACCAAGCGGGGCTCCGCGGCCAGGTCCTCAGCGCGAGCAAGAGCAGGTTGTGGGTATCGCTGCCTGAGGACCAGCAAGACGCGCAGTGCGAAAAGGGCCCAGAGGCGGGGTGGATCAAGGGGGCGGCCGCTCTATTCCTGCGTGACAGCGAGCTGTTCCTCTACGGCGGGGGGGATCATGCCGTTCAGAAGTTTGGTGTTGATAGGCAGGCAAATGGTCCGTGTGATCGTCTTTCGTTTTCACTTCTGCTTTCTTATTTATCTTTTGGAGTAATTATCTTAAAAAGGAAAAAGAAACTCTGAATTTACTGACGAGAACCCTAGACCGAGATAACCTGAAGTACTTCGACACCACCCACGATAACCCCAGCGACACTGTGGTGACCAGGGGCTGGTACATCGACTCGGGGAGGAATGCCCTGGCCTTTTCTGGTGCGTTGCTTCTGGCCTGCCCGGAGTCCGGTGCGTACACTGTAGGCGTGTTCCAGGGCAAGTCTACGCCGGAAGACAGAGCAAACTGCATCCCGTTTCATCCCGAGGTCGTCGAGAACGATGCCTCGGTGCCCTGCGAGTACAGTGAGGAATAGGTCGAGAACGAGGGCCAAGGAATCTGGATTATCAGGACGGAGCTAGTTCAGGAGGTACGGATAGTAATAATTAATACACGAGAGAGAAATTGAAGTCTCGCCTGGTTACTTCGATGTGACAAAGAGTCAGGTATCTTTTACCCCGGATCACAGTTTTCCTCAGGACCTCAGCCACAGCTTTTGGGGCTCGGGTCGTACCCGGGACTGGGACGCTGACAGAACGAGGTGCCAGGAATACTTGGGCGTTTCAAGATGGAGGGCGGCCGTTGAACTCTCGACCTACCTAATTATACCTCCCGGTTCGATGGTCGTCTTCAATCGCGGGGTGGTGGGTTGAAAATTGGGAGCATGCAACTGAGCCGACCTCCCTGCTTTTAGGTAGAACAGCGGCCCGGCCCGCGATGCAACATGACCATCACAGACTCGCATGTTGACTCGGATGGGGGAGCCCTCTGCCGATCGGCTCGCTCTCAGCTCGGGAAGGTAACTCCGGCCCCCGGGAAGCAGAAGTACGTTGCACCTTACACCACATTGTTCCGTTTGAGAAACTGGTGTCCATGAATGTCTAGCTTTGTCTGTGCCATCACCTTCAACGGGGTTGTTAGTGATCTGCCACTCATCACGTTTGGAGATCGAGGTTGGATTCGATTTCTTTTCTTAACCCCGAGGCTTAGCCTTTGAGGTGAGCCTTGCTGGTGGGCCAACTCCTCGGTTGAGACAGCCATGTACACTAGTGCAGGCGTGTGACCCTCACACACCTTACGCCGATTTGTTGAGTTCCGGCTCGGGAGGGTGACGCCAGTTCCCAGGATACCGGAGCCCGCTGAGCGGAAATGTCGTTTAAAGGAGCCCCTCTCCGCACCTCAAATCCAAGGACATTGACCTCGATATGAACCACATCAACCAGATCACCACAAATATTATCCTCCTAACCAAAATCCAACCACCAACTTAACTTCCAAAGCCCTCCGCCAAAACCCACAAGCATGCAGCTCACCATCGCCGTCACCATTCTCGCCAGCATGGCGGCTTCCGTATCCACAGTCGCGCTAGCGCCCAAAGATACGGTCACCAAGTACAAGCTCGCTTCATGGAATCCAGGGTCGGAGATCGAAGGGTTGCCCATCAAAGCGAGCAAGAGTAGGCTGTGGGTTCCGCCGCGCTGGGAAAAGCCGGACGCAGTGCGAAAAGGAGCGTGAGTGGCCGCTAGACGACGGCGCAGCCATAGTATTTCTCCAAGACAACGAGATATTCCTGTATGGCGGCGAGAATAAGTACGATCAGCAGGTTGCTATCGATATCGGGGGAAGTGGTATGTTTGCTTATACTCTTATCTCTAGTCAGGTAGCGAACAGGTGGGCCCTTTGCTGGTCTAGGTGCCGACTCCTCGATCGGCACAGCGCATTATGCATCGTGATGCCAGCCAGCCTGAGCAGTGACGATGTATGGTCGTCTGAACGGAGGATGGGGCCACGCTGGCCAGGTAGTTTGCGGCTCGGGGGATGGTCACTATGATCCCGGGGACTTGAAAGCGAGAGCTGGCCAAGGGGGGCTCTGGCTGTTCGCTGGGATGGAAGATTTATATAAAGCTCCTCCCCAACCGCAACCTGGATAATCGGAGAACTTCTCATCAACAAGATCAACACAGACTCACGACAAACCACAACCATGCAGTTGACCGCCCTTACCTTCCTCGCCAGCGTGGTGGCCTCTGTAGCCGCCGCAGCCCTAGCCCCCGCCATGCCCTCTCACTCTCTCACTCTCTCGCTCTCTTTTTTTCTCTTCGTTTTTTCACTGACAAAAGCCCAGGCCAAGGTCGTCTCCAGTACTTCGACAACGAGAACGGGATTCCCACCCAGCCTTTGGAGACTACGGGCTGGAACCTTAACGGGGGTGTCCTGTACTTCTACGAGGCTCCCTTTGTAGCCTGCCCGACGTCGCACAACGGCCCGTACTTGGTGTATCTGTACACCGGCACCCTTAACCCAGACGGCCACGCCGGCTGCCTCGGGTTCCGGGCTGTGATCACGCCCGAGACCGACCCGGAGGGTTGCACGTACAGCCAGTAATAGGTGGAGGCAAGGAGATCTGATGCCATGATGGTTTGACGTGGAAGGGACGTTACTTCACGTTGTGGTTGATGAAGTTGAAAGCTCAAGGATGGGCATGACGTATGGGTACGTCGGTGGACAGCGAGTTGGTAGAGGGTTCGGGTTGGTTAGCGGATTTATGGGTGGGACAAAGGATTTTGACGCTCAGAAGCTGAGCAAGTTGCTGCCGTTCCAGTAGCCTACCTAGGTACCTAATTGTTACCCACAATCTTCTTATGATCTCCCCTGAAACCCCCCGGTCAGGCTTGATGTGCGTGTTCAAGGTGCGTACAGGGTGAGCTCCACTCCCGGAGCGCACCGGGAGTGAGGCCGGGTGCTGCCCAAAGTTCGTTCCGACCAAGTGGGTTAGAAAGGTGCCGCTCTAGCTCCAATCTTCCGACGCTAGGGTGACCAAAGTACCTACCTAACAAATAGCCCTACACCGCCTGTAGCTTGGTATCTGGCCTGGGGTCCCGAGACAAGGAGCACCTGGTATTTATATTCAGGAATACCCACAAGAATGGGAAACGGACTCATGGACATCGAGAAAAGTTTATATTTTGGACCAAATTCTAAACCGCAACTCAGCGGCCAGCCTCCGCCTAGACTAAACGCTACAACCATGCAACTCTCCACCTTCACCTTCCTCGCCGGTGCCGTGGCTTCCGTGTCTACCGTAGCCCTCACCCGTATAGGCAGTCGTCACACGTTCATCCTCTATACGGCACCAAGTGCCTCGGAAATTGAGCACCAGTGTATGACCACGAGTCAGGGTACTGGGGGTAGGCTGTGGTTATCAGCGCCCATCCCGAAGCAGGACGCACAGAATAGCGTGGACGGGCAGATTCACGAGTTGGCCTTGCTATTTATCGAGGACCATCAACTGTTCCTGTATTGTGATGGGCATCGCCCCCATCCGTGATTTTCCGTACTTGGTATACTCTGT